AGAAAGAGGCGTGGAACTGAATCTGTAGCCTAAACACTTCCAAAGCATGGCGCATTATCCCCGGTGTACTCTGTTGACACAGTTAAATGGTATGAAATATACTGGCAAATGGCCTGAAAGAAGGAGGGAGGTCGTGGTGGCATGTTGGAGTCGCCGCTGTTGGCCAGTCTGCCCTTCACAGGTTGAAGCCCACGGGTCACTCAAAGGACATAAGCAAGAGCAGCTTTCATTTCCTGTCAAAGAGGAGCAGCGAGAAGGTTTTCTAAGGCATCAGTCGCAGGCTAATTGGGCCCCGGTGGGTGACACTGCAGCAGCATAAATAAAACAAACACAGTTGTGGTGTTTCTGCCACTGGACTCTTTAAACCTTCATCATAGAGCAAGCGGTTCCGATGAAACACCCAGCCTAATTACTCTGGTACGGGGCTGTTATCTATTCTGCCTCGCAGTAATTGATCCTCTTTTTCTGCACGCATTTATGTTTTTAATCAGAAATGAGAGCATGCATTGCCTGGGAGCTTGAAGACCTTGTAGGAGCCGATAATTAGCCGCTCTGGTTAATGGGCCTAACTGTGCTCGTGTGCTACATGACTCTCTTGTGTCATAATGTGGCAGAGCTTGGAGGAGACGGTGCTCAGGGGTGAAACACATGTGATTAGTCTCCTCACTTCACCACAGCCCACTTCACACCTTAGCTTTGCAGTCAGCACCACAAACCTCTGGTGTAGAAAATGACATACCCTAAACCGCACTCACTAATCAGATCAGCTCTTTGTGAACCTCTGACTGATCCATGACCAGTGTTAGGGTTTAATCATTTTTTTTTCTTTTTCATTCTCTTGACAGAAACAGAGATGCTGGAACACACAAGTAGTGTCAATGTGTTTTCCAAGTATGAGGAGTAATGCTTCAAGTGTACCAGATGAAAGAAATGTGGCCTCTTTATGTGCTGCATTTGTCTGTTTGTATACCGGCATTTATGCTAATTTGGCTAAATATACAACTTGCCCTTGGCCATGAATTATAATAATAATAATAATACACATAAGAGTCTGCTGCTTCTTTTAAATTCACATTGGATCAAAATACCCCAATTGTCATGGCGTGCATTCTTTATTCACTTTGTTATGCAGCTAGTGGCTCCTTCCTTGGGAGCATATATCCATATTCATTCAGAACCTATAGAATGTGTCAAATAGAGGTGTCCTAATTGTGTCTTTGATGAAAGGCTATTAATATTGAACACTTTCACATTCACCCATGTGCCAGCACAGAGGAAATGTGTTTTCCCCTTCTTTCAGCGAGACAAAAAGCAGATCTGTTCATATCTCTAATGATACCTGATTCCCCAGGGGTTAGTGGCGAGACTTGCGGTGGCTTTAGCAGATTCATCAAACAAAATATGGTGCTCTTTCCTCAGGAGGCTGAGAGTCACATTGCGTTCTATCACTGTTAATTAGAATGCAATATGCAGTTCAATTATTCTTTGTATTGGTTCCTGACATATGTGCTTGTGCTAACTATAGAGCACTGATGTAACACCAAATGTTAGAAAGCTTAACACTTTATTTCCTCTCCTTTCTTCAAAGCCTCAGTGCAGTTATTTTCTCCAACAGTTTATCCGTCTTTTAACATAACAAAGTAAGCTCATACCATGCAGTGGCCATAGAAAATAAAGCATTTAAGAGTTTGAAGGTTCTTGTAGTTCTCATAAGTACTGAGTACTGTCTCAGTACTGTCATGATTGTGGCAGTAGCTGACCTGATTGGCTGGGTGGCCGGGTGTCTGTTCCCATGTGACATTGTTTTTCAGTCAGGCAGTAGCTGTCCTGTTGCCGGTGTCAGCATCCAACAACCTCTGATCCGGGAACAGCAACTGTCAGGCCTGCACCTGTAACACTGAGACCTTCTGCCCCCCCCCCATCCACAACGCTGGGTTGAGCTCAGACATGCTTTGCATCTCAGAGGCACTCATTGGCCCAAGCAATACTCACGAGACTGGGCATGATCCCAGCTGTTGTCTTCATTTTAATGCACTCTGAATAATATTAAAGCAGAATCAGTTGAATTTATTAATGCAACTTGGCCCTTGGAGAGATGCTTTTAAAGGCCAATGATTTAATTTCAGCTCTTAAAGGCCATCTTCTATTCTTGATGCTATAAAGAATTATGGCTTTTGCCATGTCTTAACACCAGTGTGTACTGTGGGCCACAAAATAAATTATTAGTAAACTGGAGCTCCTGTAAACAGCTGCTATTAGCGACCATTTTTCTCTCGGTTGTTATAGCAGTCATATTCCCTCCCTTATTCCCAGAGACAACATCCATCCTGGTTACCATGATTTATACATTCTATCATCGGGAGAGACTAAAGCAATGTGCCGAATGGTTAAGTTACAATCTGGAACGAACAGCAAATGCAGGCAACCGCATCATTTTAAAAGCTCCCCATGCAGCCTCCTCAGGTAGCTGTGCTCATATAGGCAGAACAATCTAACTGTAGCAAACTCAGTCTGTTCTGCCATTTGGACTGCGTTTTCCACCAAGATGATGCCCTGGCAGATCCTGCTCTTTATTGGTGTCAGAGTTCTGTCTAGAGGCAGACCGTAACCTCTGCACCTTTAATTTAGGCCAGTTGGGACTTGGAGTGCAGCCACTGATCTCCATGACCTGCTTCTCAGGTGGTACAAGCAGACCAAATAACACAAGCATAAGAGCTTTAACACATGTAAGTCAACGATGAGTCGTGCTTTTCTTACTTTGTCCTACTGTGCACATTATGTCCCTCAGAGAGGAGGTCAGAGAACCTTAACAGCATTGCACATGTAACAATTACTAAGGAGGTGCTGAGAATAGTGGCTTATTCAAATGAGGTTTCTTTTTTTTTTTTTTTTTTTTTTTGCTATGCATCTCCTTCTAAAGCAGCGCAGAACTGCGACAGAGAGAAAGGGTGCAGTGTTCTCTCTCTCTCTCTCTCTCTCTCTGCACTTGGTAGTTTGACGCCCGCTCCGGGGCTGAACATCAGAGGAGCGGCTGCTGAAAAAACAGGTTGTATGGGTCCTTGCACACAGCCAGCCTGTGGTGCCGCCTGAAGGACTGCCATGGAAACAAGGAGTGTGACAGGCTCTGGGGGGATCCGCCACAGCTGCAGGCACTTCCTTTTTGACAGCCTGATGAAGACATCACTGCCACACCATGCACAACAACAACAACTAGTCGGGGGGAAAAAAATGCGATCAGACAATGTTAACTGCCGTGTGGCTCAAATGTTCATTAGCAAGCTTGTAGAACAACCAGGGATTTTCCCCACTGCATTCGGGGACCATATTGCACAGTGACTTCCTCTGCTGAGATTCGTACCCTCTCCCAGGAGAAAAAGCATTGACGAATAATTCCTTAAATATGATTACGCCTCTTTGAAGAGGAGCGTGTGTGCGCACCATATGTGTGTATGAGTAGGTAGCATGAGTGCGCATTGTTGCATGCAGAGCCGAATCAACAATTGTTGTAACCCTGTCACACTCTTCTGTATGATCCATTGAATATGAATGATACAGAGAACATCCAAGTCCATGACCCCAGTGCCACAGATCCAACGATTTGACAGCTTGGAGGCAGGCAACCGTACTCCCATACGACTTCTCGTAATGTCACTGGCAGCATTTGCCTCAATGATATATCTGCCACATCCGACACACTTATTTCAACTTAAAAATCGCTTTTCATCAAAGTCAGTATTTTTTCAAAGTTAAATTTGGCTCCATGTGGCCAGTAAATCTCAGGCCCTCCTTTTTATGGGTTCTGTCGGAGATTTAGATGTCCCGGTGCTGCAATTTGAATGTTTGCTGAAATGTCGATTAGAAGTGGACCCTGGGAATATTGCTTAATTGGTTTCACCTCTTGGGGACATTTCGTCGGGTCTTCCCAGTGATCTCCTTGTACACTCCACACCTCCCTCCCTGGCTCTGCCCTCCTCCCAGCACAGCTAAAGCCAGCCCCCCAGCCCCAATGGAGCCAAAAATGTAGGAGGGTTTCAGCCAGTGTGTGGGATTTAGCTCGTCAGAAGCTCAGGGTCACCTCCACACCCTCTCACTTTGAAATGGACCCCTGGTGGCAGATCCTGGGAGAGCCCAGTGATGTCTCTATCAGCCTGTCAAAAGAGATAGCCCGGGGCTCCACCAGGTCCCCCTGAGCCAATCAAACTCTTCACAAAGCACAGATGGATGCTCTTTCACCAGCGTGCTACTGCTGAAGAGGGGGGAACCCGGCCGCGATGCTCAGTCCCCCAATCAGTTAGAACAAACTCCCAGTGGTGGGGTCCAAGGCTCAGTTCAGCCCAACTTCGGTTCTTACTCTGAATACTTTAAAAGAGTGTTTGCCATTTGTCTACTATCAGAGAGACAGAGAGAAGGTAAAGGAGGAAACACATGGTGAACTGCCTCTTATGTAGACTACTGCAGCTAATATAAATAAATTTTCCCCTTTCTCAGTAGGGCACTCATGTGACAAACAGAAATGGCCAGAAGTGTCTATAATATATGTTTTGTATGTAAACTAAATATGGATGAGAACATTTATAGAGGATATACTACACCCTCTTCTTGGAAATCGTATTGTGTGGAGACGGATGGAAAAAAAAAAACAGTATGTGTGTGTGTGTGTAACCATTAGATAGACCAGGTGATTTTAGTGGAAATGTAAAGCACTAAGTGCTGAGGATGGAGAGAGTACTCTCTGTGAGATGAGCTCTTTCTCTCTCTCATCTGGACCCTGTTATTGTGAGAAGGCAACAAAGCAATGCATTAGGAAGCACACTGGAGCTACACAGCTTTGATGTGAGCTCGGTAACCAAGGCACAGCGGTGGCCGGTGTGTGAGCTCTGTTCCAATGGCTGTGTTGTGTAATCAGATGTGTTTACTGTGTATTCAAGTAAAGAAGTGGTGTAATCCATCCTCACTAGAGTGCAGTTATTGAAAAAACACGGGCAAAAAACAAGAGCTCAAACTGATCAAGATTCTTTACTCAGGACTCCTGCAAATTCTCCATTTGATGAAGCAGACAAGATACCGAGTAAAAATAAAACTCAAATTAATACAGTGACATAAAAAGTCAGCTGGAAATAAAGCACATGCAGTACATAAATATATATTTGTTGCCGACATAAAACTAAGAAAGCTGAGAGAATTATATTATATACATTAAATCCTTACCACAAAAACAATAGCATTCAGTACTCTGTCCTAATATGTTAAATGTGCGAGAAAACATATTTTGATTGGAACATAAAAATCTATTGCGAGATATATGACCTTTTGATCTTTAATTATATTAACACATGAATAAAGAAAAACATTTCCATGTTCGGTTGAAGTTGTATTAACTTGACCGGAAGGCAAATTTCTTAGTTTCAAAGTAAATAAAAGAGAATTTAAAAAGAAGCAAAACATTAGAGGTCTAAGGTAAGCCAAACCCGACGATTTTCATTCCTTTTCTAAATGATATCCAAAGATGAAGGCTGAGCCTTGCAGCGCTCTCTTTTCTTTACCTCCAGGCTTGTGATTGACAGCGCCATGTGCTGCCCTTCTAGCTGCTACAGTTCACAGCCTCTGTCTGGGGGGGGGTGGCACATACGCACAAGCCAGAGAGCGGCTGGCTGCCCCTCAGCAGCAGGGGGCAGAGTTAGGATGGTATGGTGGGGGGGGGGGGGGGGCACATGGGTCAGGGGCCTCTGCTGGCACTGGAGCATTGTTGTCAGGTGGACTGCATCGTAGCGTATTCAAAAGGAGACCAGCCTTTCATCCAGCAACGCTTACCTCTTCTTCCGCGGCTGGTTCTGGCTGGTGGGCGCTCTCAGCGCGCTGTGCTGCACCTGTAAAAACAAACAGGAGTTTGGTCAGAGGCAGGTAATCCGAGCTCAGTGGAGCGCACGGTAATGGCTCCCCTGAGGAGAGCTGGTGCAGGGGAAAGCGAGGCGGGCTCGCCTGTAATGAATCATTTTTTAAACACAGGAGCAGAGGGGATTAATCACAGGGAGGAAGGATTTGAAGAGTCAAGGGTTCCGTACCAGTGTACGCCCCCCTCATTCTGCACCACAATCACAATATTAGAAACAGAAATCAACTGTTGGGATGACCTGCCAGGCCAGTGAGGGAGTTGCAAACTGCATAATCACTGAAAGTTATGTCCCCTCAAGGAAACTTTGTTGATGCCTGAGACTGTAGAACTGTATGAAGCGAGTGTTGTTTGAGTAATCAGTTGATGTGTAACTTTCTTCGTGGCTTTACAGCCCCTTGGTGTGACTTTGATTTCTTCACAGAAAAACAACACCTGCACTGTGACATTTAGACTTTTTTTTTCAGCTAGTTACATGTATGGAATTAAGCTGTAGATAGATTGGCGAATGTCTTAGTATTTATTTTTCCAGAAATGCCTTGATGTTCAAATGGATTTGCAAAATAAATGTATGTTGTAGAATCATGTTCTCTTTGACATTAAAAAATGTGATTCAATTGTCCATTTTCCTTTAAAACTGCCTACATAATCCAAAGAGGACTGATGATAGGTTAAACTGAAAAGGAGAAGAGCTGGAATTTGAAAAGTTGCTTTTGAAGCATGCTTGCTGAGCTCCAACAACACGGTAAATCTGTTGAATAAAGGTAAGAGCTATATGCTAATTAGCTGCTCTCCATTATTAGAATGGGAGATGGAATGTGGGAACAAAGTGACTGCCTCCTGCATCAGAACATGAAACTGTCCTCAGAACTGACAGATGCTTCTTATTTCAGGACAGACACAGTGTTGTCAGAAGTCCCCGTTTGAGGCAGACTTTGTAGATGTGCACAGGCACTAATTGCCAAGTCACATTTGCAAGAAAGACAGGAGTCAATTTTCAGCCTTTGTGGTGTTTTTGTGTCCACACCTATCAGAGGTTTGAAGTTCCAAGTCAACAACAACAAAATATGTGGTCTATTGTTTTGGGTCTCCTGTGTATATGATGTTAAGGTTATTTTTCACAGGACATAATGAAACGTACTTATGATGAATCTTAAGGGTGTTTTGTTTTTTATGATTGGAGCTATTTTCAAGATGTACTTTCTCATTTAAACCAGGCTAAAAAGTATTGTTTCCATGAGATTTGAAAGTGAGTCACTTTCAAAGCTCAAACATTGTATCCCAATGGGGAAGAAGACATACAAAGGATTCCGAATCAAAATGTATTCACCACCTTGTTTTGCCAACTCAGTCAGCCAAATCTCAAACAACACAGGCTCCCTCCAACATCACAGAGGAGTCAGCAATGGCTTGCTGCAGGAGGACATCAAGGGTGCCGCAGAGAAACAGACTGGGGTGAGAGTGTCTTTCCAGATCCAGACTGTCAGGCTTTCTCGCTGAATTCAGTCTGGCGAGTTACCTGGGAGATGAAGGCACTGTGTGGCACTTCATTTCCTGGCTGAGCAAAATTCTAAGTCAGAGAACGGCGAGCACCCAGCACCACTTACAAGACCCTGACAGCTCTCCTCAGCTCTGTGATGTAAATGCAAATGACATATCAGCCATGGCTAATATGTAATCACATATGGCACCCAGCAAGACGACTGGGGCTCACGACTACATTAATTGACTCTGCCGCCCTGAAGTGACTGAGGCCACATCAGAGTTTCTGCGCTGACACAACAGTCGGCGACGTCAGGAGCCCTCTGCCAGCCCTCGGCCAATCACCAACTTTAATGTCACAGCGCTTCAATCAGACGGACAAAATTGCTAATAACGGACGAGGCTGCAGCAATATGGCTGAGGACAGATCTGAGCATCTCCTCACGCAGGCAATACGGCGAGTACATGGAGCTGCGCTGAGGAATAATTGGGCCAGGGCTGCTTTAAAGGCGAGAGTCCATTAATAATCAAACAAAGCCAGAGGATATATTTCCGCAACACTTGGGAATTCTGGTACAGCAAATAATGCAGACGTCTTCAGGGAATTCCTTCCCTATCTGTATGCAAAATTGGACCCTTACCTTTTGAACATCAGAAGGCACCCTCTTGAGGAAATCCAGTATATCATTATTGTCAACAGTATATGGGTTGCGCAGCTTCTTGGTAAATTTGTTAACACCTGTGAAAACAAGAACACATTAATAAATAAAGGTGTCACACCAACCAGCATTCTTTACAGTGTCCAAAATAAATAAAAAGAGTTGTGTAACTCTATCTATGTTCTCTATAGAGTTCCCACCGGTGTGTCAGCAACTGCGTTATATGATGCGGTTTCAATTGATTCATTTTAGACAAACTGAATTCAAGACGGACCAATACAATGAAGACGAGGTAACGCAATACGTAATCAATTAAAGCAGATGAATAATGATAACAGCGATTTCAAAATAAGACGCAGGCATTTATGAAAACTTTTCCTCACTTCTGTTTGCTTCAACATAATCATTTCTAGCATATCTATATTTACTTTGCACATAGCTGCATACCAGAGAGAGAGAAAAAACACTATCTTCAGGGTCCTGTAATGGGACCATTATATTCTCAGCTTGGTACCGCCTGTACCTCAACATGCAGACAAAGAACCTAAGGACTTAAATATGTGCAAGCAACTTGAAAGGCTTGCCTTGCAACCACAGAGATGGGGGTTAACTGGGGAGGCAGAGGAGTGTCTCAGGCTGTGTGTTTTTTGTTTGATATGATGGTTTTTTGGTATTGATTGTGTTGAAGGCAGTGTGGAAGTACAGTGGTTGTGGGCTTTCAGCTGGAGGAGGAGAGCCCGTTAAGGGCAGCATATCTCCCTGACCACTGAGATGACTGTCTATTCTGTATGACTACAGCGGATAATGAGAGGCTAGACCAGGAGCCTACAGACTGCCCAAGGACATCATGTATTATATGCAGCTTGCTACTCTATCTCTGCTTTGTTTCCACACAAACCTTAGGCCTCGCCTCTGCTGCATCAGCCCACACTGAGCGGAACAAACCTCTGCAGCTGTCTGATCTCTGTGCATCTGCAGAGGTGTAGGCATGGCAGAGTTCTTAAATTACTGTACTTTATTAAATCATGGATTTGCAGTTAGGAAGCTTGAATAAGAGTTTTGTTTTACAACAATGGCATGGGCATTGATTTATATGCTTGTCAGTGTGTTTTGGTCACAGTAATGATGGATCTAAATAGTGGGAGTTTGTCAGCTTTAGGTATTCACAGAATAAAGTTTTGATTGCACAAATGTTTTTTTTTTTTTTTTTACAATTTTACGAATTAAACAGTGTTTGTTAGATGTAGAACTTACCCCATATCAGCACAATATATCGCAGAGGGATGAAATACAACAGCGCAGTTGCCACAAACAGCATCATGCAGGCCAGGCATGACAAGAAGGGGACAGACCAGTTGAATATGCTATAAAAGAAATAGTGTGTCAGATTCATTTGAAGATCTATTAAAACATTTTTTTACATAAAGATATTTTGTAGGATAAATATAAAACGGTCAAATTACTTCTTGATTCGCTCTCCGATGTTTGCGATTTCCTCCAAAACGTTCTGGACAGCCAGCACTACTTCCTGCACCATATGTATCTTCTCCATCAAACCCTTTTTTCCGGATTCCTAAAAAGGAAACAAACAAAAAAGAAAATGCAGAGAGACTGATGAGGTACACTGTATGTCAGTTGTTGGGCAGGGTAGACAAAGAGCAGTTTATCTCTGCTGTGCTATTATGTGTGATTTATCTATTGAATGGCCCATAATGAGCAAACACTGTACATCTTCAGACTATGCTTTAGAAGACGAGACAGACTCAGTGCTCTGAAGCGGTTATGTGGATGGCTGAGAGATTTCAGCTTTTGTCCGCCACACACAATAGAGCCGTTGCACAAGTGCAGCACAATCAAGACTCTCTGCTAGATGAAAAGTACACAAAATGGCCATCCGCAATCAGCCAGACGAGACGACTAGAAGAGCAGGGGCTTCACAACTTAGGAAAGATTCCTTTCCAGCAGCCTGCACGGGACAAGTTTGAACATGTTTTTAGAAATCTGTCAGGCTTTCTAACCTACCCGAACACTTTCTACGCGTGAGGAAAACACTTCACCATGCTTAAAACACCAGTTGGATGTTTTCACTGGCATGATTCTTGTCTACGTGTCAACTAACACTGCCCATAAAGTACTATGCGCTTTTAATGCACTGATAGAATAATGACTGAGCCAGGCAAAGAAATAAATCAACACGTAAGGGGGGGTTGGAGTGGTCTCAAAATAAAAAAATAAATGTGATCCCATCAAGGCTAGAAATAACAACGGGTGTGAAGCCTTCCAGAGGCAGAGGACTGACTAGAGATAACACAAGTAACACAAGCTAAAGAGAGCTGAGAAGCCTCACATCAAAAGGAGGAAATAATGACAGGAATGATGACAGAGGGCGGGAGAGGAAGAATGAGAGGGAATAAGGGGAATGAGAGTGATGGGGGAGGGCGCTCTGATGAACCCTAGCAGGAGGCTTGGGGATGTCTATATGTTTATGTTACAAGTCAGCCGGAGCTGCGGCCTGTGTGCATTGACAGGGTCCAGACAGAATGCCTTTATCAGCGCTTCATGAGGCAGCCCCTGGGAACACACGGCCTGCCAGCACATAGAGACTCCCCACCGTCAGGCCCACTCTTCTCAACGAAAGGCGCAGGAAGAGAGCAATTCCCACACTAGCAGAGCCTCCCCCCCACTAGGCTGGAGTCTGGACCGACACTGGAGGCTCAGCACTGTCCAAAAAAGGGAAAACTATCACAAATATGCTTTCTTTGAGATCAACATCTCATGGTCTCATCATGGGGAAAGAGGACTGTCTGTGTTCATGCGTCATCTTACTCCATTCCACTGCGTTGGGTGGGGTGGGGGGGGGGGGGGGGGCTGAGCAAACCTTCCTGCGTGTCCTTTACTTCACATCAGGTGTTAATTGAGCTCTCTGTCCTCGGTTTATTTTAAAAGCGGAGAGCACTGTTAGAGTCTGCTGAAAGCCATTACAATCTGTGCCGTGAGCAGCTGATGGACGCAGAGAGCCTAGCATTGACAAATGATAGCTCTCTGGATATTAAGCCTCATCAGTTCGTCTCACATTCCTTTTCATTTTCCCATTTACATTTGTTTAAGCGACCCAATTACGCAATTTAGAATTCCTACCTAATAAGAGATATGAAGCATTATTTAACTGCACTTCAGACACTTGCAAGGTAAATTCAGCCAGAAATACAGCTCCGGCAAGAAAAAAAAAGAGACACCATATTGTCTTTCATTTCTTAAAGGAAAAACAGACAAATAGACTCTGAAGTATGCATCGACAGGCAAAGCTCTCGTGATTATCATTATTCATGCGCTTTAAGATTCTTTAAGTCCTCCATCTCCTTAGCGACCAAAACTGAAGTCCTTCCTACGTTAATCATTTGGATAATATTCTTTATCTTTGTTCATTTTTCTTTCAGCGTGTACACGAGTGCAGAGAAAACAAAAAATAGTAAAAAGATCTCCTTCTGAAATGGAAAAGGATGGGTAAACTGGGGATGGTCTAAATGAATCCTAAATGTCTACTGATTGGAAAACCTGTGTGAAATCATAATCTCATTTCAGATAAAATTGTAAAAGCTTGCTTTTAAGGTGCGGTAATGGAGAACCAATTTGATCTCCTGCACAAAGGTAAACATACTCTCACAGACATGTGGGGTGTTATCAAAGGCTGGAAAAAGCTCATTTAGCATCATTCTAATTCGAATAAACTGTGCCAAATTTGAATTCTGAGACCGAATATCATTCTAGTGACTTTTTTTTGACAAAGATAAGAAGTGCATCTAAATGAAAAACACCTGTTCCAGGAAAATGATCTCACATGGAGATGAGATATGCTAACAAACAATTTGCCAGGATAAAACAGAAAAAAAAGCTCTCAGAGGCTCTAATGTGTTGGTGGGTCCGTGTGCGGTAGCTCTAGTAATGGACGCCACAGATCGTGACACCAGCAGTCTGTCTGACTGGTGTGCTCAAGGAGACCCAGCGGTGACTGTGGACTATCGGGTGAGCGATGGAGTAACCCCATAGTCCAGTCTAGCACCCCCACAATCACCTCCTCCCCCTCCCCCCAAACTCCCCCGGGCAAGGCACTGGGAGCAAGTCAACCCCAGACCAGCACTGCCAGCCGGGGGGCAATGAAAGGGCCGTTTCATCTTCCCTTTTCATTTCTATTGGAGATCTATGGACTTGTTTTGCCTCTCTGTTTCTTTATGTTATGATTAAATATGGTCTATCTGCACAATTGATACCTAAGGCCAAAGGGAAGTCACTTTGCCCACACATAATTTGTAAGCTGTCTCTTTCCCTGAGGACAGATTTGTTCACAGTCAGAGAATCTGTTCTGTATTATCCTGCTGTAACACTGCCGTGCCTTTCGTTTCTCTTTAACGTCATGCCTTCACATTCTTGCTGCTCTGTCTGAGGTTTAAATATTTCCTTCCTCAAGGGGGAAAAAGGGGGATAAAAAACATATTTGAGTGGTAATCATAACCTTCTCAGAGGGAAAAGCCTTTATTCGCATGTGAGAGGAAAGACTAGGGGGGGGGGAAAGCAAAGGCTTTGAAGTCATCAAATTTAACACTGATCACTCTTTAACCCCAAATATTTTTAAAGAAGACTTTGATAGGAGGTGTAAAGCTACACTGCTTGATCTAACTGCATGATATCACATTCAAGTGACAGCAAGACCATAACAAGACTTTCAAAAAAGCCACTTTAAATTAAAGCTGACAGCTTAAAACAAACATGGGTGACTGCTTAATTAGTAAATGAAAGGAGATATTTCATTTCCTCTGAGTGTGAAAGGGCTTAGGGAGGCTCATGGAAAACCTTTCAAAAAGCTTTAAGAGTTCGCAAACACATGCAGCTTATTGAGAGAATCTTTAACCTGTCTGAAGACACTGCTTTTTTTAATAAAATAAATGGTCAACATTCCTCTATTATATATTGAGGTTTCAAGGTAAAGATAAATGTAATAATCATTCTATATAGCTATTAAATTCAGTGTGTAACGGTAATCCTGTCCGATTCAATATTCATAAATACACAGAATTTCCGGTGTCACTGCTGTTTGTTTAAGCACCAGTTTGCCTGTTCCTAGCAATGAAAGCAAGTGCGGCTTCCCACTTTGTGTGTGCAGACATATCATGCGAGTTTCATCTGGGAATTAGCCCATCCTTTCAGACAGGATTTGGTGGATGTGCCTGCGTTTTTAAAAGAAGCTGGCTTTTTTCATAGCCTCAGGTCATCACAGCAGAATATATTGAGCGCATTATGGATATGAATCCTGGGCCTAGACACGCAGCACAAGGGTCATTGCTTGGAGGCTTTGCGTTAGCTCCACACTTCATTGCCATAAAGCAATAATACACATCCCTGTTAACTCTCCTTTCTTTACAGAAAACAGTGGGATGAGTGTAATTGAATATTATGTGCTGTGGGGAAGTATAATTTTCAGGCTACTTAAAGATTTCCTGTTTTGTTTTTCAAGAGACACGAGAGAGACACATTAATAAAAATTATCATTCATGATTTCTCACAAATGAAGAAGTGAAAATGACTGATAACCTTCAGGGCAAAGTAAAGTTTACTGCTGTGTTATTCTACTTTGTTCATTTGTTCTGGTTGTAAAAGGTCATTCTCAACACTACTAACCCATTAAGAAAATGATGGTACAAAAAAAAAATAAAAAAATCGACCGACTGAACCCCAACAGCTGTGAAAAATCTATTGACGGTACTGTTTAAATTTGATTTATAGATTTTCAAAGGGCTGCAGTATCTCGGCGGAGTGCATTTGTAGAGTGACACTGAATTACCAGAGGAACAGAATAAAGATCTACATGCTGCAACTGTTTCAGAGATGTTGTCCTCATTTGGGGATGCATGAAAATATTTCTATTTATAGTCAGAAAATACATAGTAGAACCTGTATGGCTCTTTGGTCAAATATGATCCATTTTCTAAGAAGCAAGTGTTTATTTGTATAAGAATAACAGCCATTTGCTGTATCGGGAATTTGTACCCAGCCGAGGCAATGCAGACATTGTCATGCGTTTGATTTAACCTTGGTTATTCAGAAAGAAATATTAGCAGGGTTCACGCTTTCTGATGAGTTCCAAAATGATTTTTACACAAGCCATTGAGCAATGTCACTGTGTAATGTTAAAACTGTTTGTTTTCATGGTTTATCCTAAAAGATGTATTTATGTTTATTCTGCAAAATGAAAAGCTACAACATTCCACCAAAACATATTATCCCGTAAAATGTTAGGAGACAAGATAAAATACCTTCTCGTCTTCCTCTTCGTCGTCACCCATGCTCGTGTTCACCTAAGAGAAAATAAAGGGTAGAGGGTGATTTCAAACGAACGGGACATGTGGGCACTGGAGCATTTTTAACAAACACCTAGTAATGAAATTTTCTTTGAGTACATTCACCCCTATTGGGAGAGGCTTGTTTCCATAGAGACTGCATCACAGGGGTGACCTCACACAAAAGGAGAGGTGAAAGAGGGCCTTCCTCACAAGAGCACTGTCACACCAAAGCAATCTCATTTCTCCACAACATAAGCACACAGAAAAACAGAAAGAGAAAAAAAAAAAAAAACACATTTAATTTGGATGCTGTTGCCTAGATCACTTTATATCAAGTCATCCCTGACCCCAATGTGTTGCACACTGTGACATTGCCTCGGAACAGAGTTGTGTCATTGCCGGCCAGAGGGTCACAGAGGGGTGGCAGTGTCTCAACACTGGATATGAGGGTGAGCCTGGACTTTAACATTGCCCAGGGACAGCATCTTTGCCAGCAGCCATAAACACAATCACCGGGCCGGGGATGTGGCTTTGGGGAGGGTGTGTGAGCAGGCCAGGCCTTCGGCTGGCCGGTGAGAAGGCTTACAACACAGTGAAATTGGGGGGCAGTCGGAAGTGTGAACAGCATTAACCTTCACAGACATGTGTAGGGCAAACATCATTTCCATAACAGTAGAAAGAGAGGAGATATTGGCGTGTTGTGGAGAGAACTATAGTCCTGCATTTACAGATGGGACAATACGAAATCAACAGACTATAGGCAATACACACATTTACAGTGATTTGATTCCTACTGCTTGGTGTTTCATTGGGCCTCTTGAGAAAATGTAGAAACTAATTCAAGCAGCTATAAATGGGGAATGCTGCTACAACTGGCTGTACTGTGAGGTGCATTTTATAGATCATGTCTTGTACTATACAGTCTACATGCAAGTGCAAGAGTTGTTAATTGACACTACTTTAAAACTGCAATCTGTCCACTGTGTGCCAAAAGGATTTCATTCCAACAGGGTTTGACCAGAGTTGACATGCATCTACAGCTGTGTATGGATGAGCGCTGGAGAGTTGGGAGTCCACGTCACTCACCGGGTCCTGGTTGGAGCTGGCCTTCCCTGTAGAGAGCTGGAAGTAGTGCCAGCCAATGAGCAGAAGCAGGAAGAGGGGCAGCATGAAGAGTTCCCAGTGCCACACCGTCACAAGGAAGATCTGAGAAGACAGGACATGACAGTGGAACGCAAATCCCATCACACTGTAGCAGGGACCTAGCTTTCAAATCTCAGCAAGCCTGTTCCCAAAACAAAATATATAATGGATTTAACCACGTCCTAAATCTCATGAAAAGCACTACAGCCCGTAAAGCCTCTGAGATTTACAGCCGATGGCAACAGATTTTACTCTTAGTGGTTTGAAAGTAACAGACATTCAGGGACAACTTTTAATATCTTGAAATCCTATTTATATACACCAATAACACTGTACTGGCAGAGTGCCTAACTGCGGAACAGAAAGTATGACATGGATAGGCATGGTATGCTGTCTTTTAACTAGCACATCAAATCCTCTTAGATTCGGAAGCAGCGAGGCTCTCTGACGAGGCGCATATGGCAACTGGAGAAGTATTTGCAACATTTACCCCCTCCATGGCGATGATACTGAGAAAAGCCAAGACCCCTGGTAGAAATAAGATGGATCACACTGAATGAGTAATCCCTCATAATTCTGTAAAGGAGTGGTGCTAAGCACGTTGCACAACACCCACTGCATTTCACAGCAGAGCACTAATTGGACGGCTGCATTTAAACCCATTTAGTGACAGCCTAATTAGTCTGTCTCCAACTGAAATTATCAGGAATGTGTGAGGAGGATCACACCAGCCGGTTGACTGGGATGAAATAAAAATGTCCCCCACAGTAAGTTGAATCTTAAAATCTATTAGAGTGTGATTATGTGCCAATACATCCAACATATGGTCCACATATTTGCCGCAGACATCTTTCACAATGTAAATTTTTCCTCATGCTTTATATACAACGTTTTCTATAATTAATGCATCCTTTTGCAGTTATATTACTTCTACTTTCTTTTTTTACAAAGTTTATTTCAAAACAGTAGAACTGCTAAGCTGAACCCACACGATGATAGCACTGTGCGGTCTAGGCTCCAAGTGCTTGAGGGTGCTTAGACTATGAACAATATGTTCGAGTTAAGCCCGAGACAGGATGTGAACCACTGGGGCCTTCAGGCCTCAATAGCAGGTCTGTAAACAGCAGACTGCTCCTGTCATAGCAACAGCACAGAGTCTGTGTATGGTGCTCTGGGGGCCGGTCTACCTACTGCCACACCAGGCCTAGGTTCAAACAGCCACCAGGGAAACGTGAACCGTGAGTAATGCAGACAACACTGTGGCCCAACTGCCCTAGGCGTCACCACTGTACTGCTTATTATCCCTCAATACAACCTGGGAGATAGTGGGTGAGTCAAAGCATAATGCAGAAACACAGCAGGATGACCAAGGTATAAATAAATGAACATTAGGAACAATATGTTATTCTTAGAGCTCATTTAAATTACGTATGCAGCAACTAACCAGAGCTTGTGGCGGATAAAAAAAAGGTAAACAATGAATATGCATGATGTGCAGAGGTAGCTGCAGCACATCTCATCTCTGTTATGAATAACCTACGTCCTGTGTTGTCACCTCAGTTCCCATGAGGCGACTCTAAAGCGACACTCCCCTCACCCCAGAGGAATTCAGCTGGCTGGTGGACAGGTAGCTTGTCATATTCACAGTATTCTCATAAAAAAGGAGAAAGAGAAGGGGGGGAAATGTGCCTGGAAACTGACATGAGCCCAGCAGGAATGTTGAACCTCCTTGCCCTCCCTGCAAAAGCTGCTACATTAACCACTAAAGTCTAATTGCTTGGTCTCTGTCTTCCTGTGCAAGTCAACAGAGGGAGCCAATTCATTTCCGCCCAGGGAGCCGGCAGAGAGAATCTGTCACAGGTATTCATAATCGCCCACTAATGCAAATTTCTGCTCACCGCGTTCTGGCTCAGTGGACAAGATAAAAGCCTACAGAAATACAATGCCTAGTGTCTAAACTGAGTGCTTAAATTAGGGTATAAACCAAAACTGTCAGAAATATCTTCTCAATTCCTCCCTCATGGTATGTCAGCCCATGTGTTCAGAATTTACATGCTTTTTTTTTTTTTTTAACACTAATAAAAACGATGGAGAGAAACATCTGGGAAAAGCTCTTGGATTCCTTCACTCAGGTGCACAGACTGAGACTTTGCCGTCAGACATCCCGCAGTAATGAGCAGAGGCAGGACTAAACCTTTCCCTTGTCTCCCCACATTCTCCAGAGTTTCTGTGAAACGGAGACAGAACTAATTCCCCACTAAGTGGTTTATGTTTTATTAGCAAGCAGCTGAGTGATTAAAGGACATGTTGGACAAAGTGCAACCTCTCAGGCGTAAGTGTAAATTCATATAAAAAAAGAATCCACATTTTAATTGCCATCAAAGAGGCTCCATTTCAGTCTTAAGGGCCTGACTGCGTATTTTTTTCGTCCGTCAACAAATTACGCATGACAAGTAAAACCTTGAACTTTATAAACACGACAATGCTAATATGCTGCGGTATGAGTGGTGAAAAAGAATAATTATTTAACCAAAAAGGCCATAAAGCAACAAACAAAAGCAAGGGAGGTAATAATTAATGACACACCTGAGCATTTAGGTTTACACACAGCAGAATTGGATAACAAACGACTTGTAATTGAACAAGTGTTAGTATGTATGTCTGGGAGAAGTGTCTCTAATGTAGGAAAACTCCCTTGACAAACACCATTTAGCTGAAAAATGTCTGTATGATTATGCACAGGGTGCCTAGGGAGGGAAAAAAAGAATGAATTAATAAAACTATTAGCACACGGTGGAGTAGATGATGGAGATGCACTCTCCTTAGCCACCTGTAAGCGCTTGGAGAAGGGGGCAACCCTGGGCAGAGCAATTCTGCCAGCAGGGTTAAGAACAGCCTGACAGATTTGTTTTATAGTGCCATTAATATGATTCCTCTAAATGCATTCTGCGCCTTCTCATGCAGATCCCCTGGCCAGCAGAATCCAGTACCTAATAATAAAGCACTCAGCGATTAAAAGTGTGAATAAAATAACTTAAAGCTGAGCAGGCATGGCAGGTCCCACCACCCACACTCTCCCAGGAGAGGGAGAAGAGATCGCAGCAGGAACAAAGGGACAAAGACACCCTCTACAAGAGTTTCTACCATCCTGTAAATTGATTAACAGTGGAGGGGGTTGCCCAGTCTACCAACCCAAACTACTGACTGGCAGACGTACCACCAGACTGCAAGGCTGCCAAATGCTCTCCTTATACACTACAGCAGATAACGGGCTATAAATATAGGCGTCACATCAGTGTATTACACACATAATACTGTTGAAAAGACAATTCAGTGTAATGTCACAGCATGAGGCTACACAATATCATTATGAAAACAGCCAACTAAAAACAACCGTTTGTTTAACGTGGTACATTCCAAAATACCCTTATTCTTAAGACCACGTACTATCCAAAAGCACGGAAGATTTAATCGTGGCTGTATCTTCATTACTCTCTTCAGTTTCACTCCACTTGGAAAGCTAAACAAAGCGAGGAGAGCGCCAGCCAGCATTATGAGGGTCAGTCATGGAGGCTGTGGCCGGATGCCAGATTACGTGAACATATACTGAAAGAGTTTTACAAGACTGACTAACAGGCTGCAGGGTTTGTGTACGTATGTGTATGGTTGCTTCTGCATTTTTTGTGTGTATGTAATGGACAGAGAAAAGCGAATATCTGTGTGTGTGTGTGTGTGTGTGTGTGTGTGTGTGTGTGTGTGTGACAATGTGCAAATATGGTATATAGAATGTATTACAATGATTATTATTTTAAAAAACAAATAAATAGGAACCTCTAAAAAACCTTGAATAGTCTTTACTCTGATAGAGATGGGGTTTTTTCTGGGTGAAATCAAGGGCAGTACAATTAATCTGCATTACTTCCTCAATTAAAATACAAAAAAGAGATTAATAATGAATCAAAGGCACAAGTAGCAGCTCAGCTCACGCAGGTCTTTTTTTTTCCAGCCCAGCTGAAACAGAGTCTGGCTGAGGGCTTATGTTGGGGACAGGAGCGGCAGGCTTTAAAGTAGCTGTAAACGCAGAGCAATGAGACATGTAATTTGTGTTGAGCTCGGGCCAGTGTGGGGACAGGCTTTCAGGGGGTGTCGTAGGCAGAGGAAGCACAGATAAGATTTCTCTTCGGGGCAGGTAGAGTGTGTGGGCAGCCATGGTGCTCTGAGCTAACGCTGAATAAATATTTCACATACGCTCAGCTCATGTCTTATCGACTGGGGAGAGAGAGATAGAGAGGAAGAGAGAGAGAGAAAAAGAGAGGCTACATACGAGTAAGAGCAATACAATGGGGAATCTCGTGTCCCTCTTCAGCGGGGTGAAATCCGCTCTAACAGTCCTGGAGAGGATTACATTTCACAATTCAGTTTTTATATAAAATATGGTATCATATAACATTTATATTTACTGTAATACATTTTGCTCAATAAAAGCTGAACAAAAAACAAAAACATATTTTAGTAATAACACCATAGTTAAATAGCAAACTATTCCTTATCCTAAAAATAAATTGTAAAAAAAAAAGTGTTATATAGGCTAGTCTATTTTCCCTTGATTCAATGTTCACTATATTTTTTACAATTTGAAAACAAAAGGCAAGCTAATGATAAACAAATGCCGGTTTATGAGGACGCGTGCACGGTGCAGTGCAAACGTGATAGCAGCTCTTTATCAAAGCACTGAGGAAGAGCAGCCGTGCGAGGTGAAGCATTAGCGCTTGCTCACAGGGCCAGCTCCGGCCGTTGTCTCCCCGCCTGTCTGACACATGCCAGGGCCAGAGTAGCGCCGGTGCGAGGCTGGAGCAGGGCAGTCGGCGGGGGCCCCGTGGTGCCTGTCAGTGGTGGCTACGCTGACCCTGCACTCCAGCACTGGCCACTAGTGTTTAATCCGTGTCGGGAGCGTTAACACTGAGCGACCTCCTGGGTGACAGATCTGCCATGCGAGCCGTTTCCCCCTGAGGAGGTGGGGAGGGAGTGGCATTGACTCTCGCTCCCTGTCAGCTCGGCTCACGCGCACGTTAACGCGTCGGGGCCAAGACCGGCCCCGAAACACCCACACTCAGGGGCGGACAGGTCACCGCCTCAGCCGCCTGGGGAGAAGTGTCCTCTGTGACCAGGAAGGTGGCGAGTATGCTAAAGGCAGTCATTATTATATGGCACACACAATGGGGTTAAACACAAAGCATACATAAAGATTGCGTAATAGAAAGCGAAGTACAAGCGATGCACAGAAAATACCTGTTGTATTCAGTATGCAGCCAGCTATTATAAATCTGAGCACTACTTGTTTGTACTGTCTGATAATACAAAATAATAATGAAGAATTTGGTCAGTTTGAATTGAATCAAATGTGTTCTCAAAACTGAAATGCATGTTTTAAAACATATGAAAATAGAAACAATTTCACAGCTCTAATGAAGTGAATATTAACAGAGAAAGCTTATTAAACCCACTAATAAGGGGACATGTTTCAAGGTTACACGCTGCATTCAGCCAGAGCTGTCAACTGACACATAGCCAGGGCAGCTAAATAATAACACTGTTAAATCGGGAGGCACTGCTGAGCAGTTTGCAAGTAGTCATAGCCTATCATTTAATAATTAATAGATCTCAGACTCAAAAGCGTGAATACACACCATCGCCATCACTGTCATCTTTTCTCGACTAGACACATTCCCACTACACAGTCTGTGAGAACTCCCACAGCCGTGGAGATGGAGAGCATAACCCCATGAGACTGAAGAAACCCACTCCTGAAGGGCCTCCAACTTTTTCAAACAGAGAGAAAACAGATGCAGAGCAGAAACAAGGAGACAACTCACAGGCGTGCACGGTCTTGCTGTTCTCACAAGCGCTCGGCCACACTGCAATGCAGTAAACCACAAACAGGCAGATCCTAGACTCACAGAGCATCTCACTTTCAGGGACAGCGTTAACAAGAACAATTACCAAAAGTCTGATTAGGGCTTTGATCATAGCCAGGCTGGTGTTCTGGTTAACGGCCCCGACTGCTGTGGCTCTACACAGGTGGTCTCCTGGGACCTCTGGAGCCAGATCTGACCCAGTCCTGCCCTCATCTGGGGGAAGACGATGATTCTATCAAACCCCCAAAAAAGTCCCAGTTGCAGCTGCCAAGTGTGTTTACAGCTGCATCGCATCAAACATTCATCAAATGCCATCTTTACAGTGTGTGATGTGAAGCAATCAGCATTTCACAGGCTGTCAAATGATGTCTAAAGCGGTTGCTACCTGGCAATGACAGAAAGAAAACGGTTCAAATACTCACATAAGGTGTACAGGTTTCTTTCTAGTCTAACTCCTGACAGATGAGGTACCTCATATGTTAAAATATTAATTCTACTTAAATACTTAAAGCGCTCTAATGACAGCAAAGCTCAAAATCAGCTTTCAAATGTAAATTATCCTTTTTCTTTCATCCATTTCATCTAAATCAAAATTGTTCTCAACTTTAAACTTCTGAAACAGATTAATTTGGCTGTCTAATACGCGCTCCTTTAGCTTCTCTTTTTTTCTTCTTTTTTGGTGTGGACGAAACTTGTGCTTCTTGGTGTAATGCACAGAGTGGAGGATTTCACTCCCAAGTTGTTCCCACGAATGTTGAGCAAAGTAACCGATCTCCTCAGTGCCTCCGTTCAGGTTTCCAGCAGTGCTGTAGCTCCATCTACAGGTCCTGTTCTTGTGTGCAGCGAAGAACTCTGGGTGACCCCTCTGCAGTCACTGCTGATGTATAGCACATTCATCTCGCTCGGTCTTAGTGAAAAGCACATCTAAAGGCCGTTATTTTATGAAGATTTTTAGCTGTCACATTTCTTCTCTCTCAGAAAAGGAACATGCTGTTGTCAAACTTATGAAAAGCGCAGATCCTAGGCTCATTACTGTAGCATAAACAAGAGGGGGAAAAAAATCCAAATTTCTTGTTTGTATTTCCGTTCACTGATGAAAATGTTTATGAGGATTTGCCAGAACTTTGTTTAAATGAGTAAGAGATGTATTTCTTTTCTTGTTTCTTTTTTTTTTTGTTACATTACCTAATTAGAGAGATTCTGTTTTAAAACTGCTACACATTGGTGGGAAATCGAAGGCGATTTCAAACAGTATGGACATTCAAAACAAGCAACCTCCTGCACTCACAAACAGTGACACTACTGCAAGTATTTCCATTCCTCACACGATAGCACGGAAACGAAATAAACAATAAATCTGTAAATGTAGACGTTCCTGAATCTGCAGCTTTCTGCCACTCATGAGAGAAAAGTTATCTTGATTTCAACAAAGAAGACTATTCCCCCGCCAACCCCCCTCCCCCCCAAAAAAAGAACTTCACATTCCCATTCACTTAGTTAACATGAACCAGAGCAGTGATCCCTCATGCAAAATTTGAATACCACCAACAACCACCTCATAATGCATACAAGAATCTACATAAACAGGATACAAATGTAGACTGCATGCTGTGTGGAGGTCAGAGAATTGGCCTGTGGGACTGAGTGATATAATGGCTGAGTATTCCTGGTAAAGCACTACGCGAGCATCCCGCAGTCCCAGTAGAAACCACAGCAGCGGTAATGCATTACAGGATGTATATGGTGTAAAAGGGTACCGGTCTGCCTGCTTGATAAATAATGTATTGTAATGTATATTAAAGCTAGACCCACCACTGCAGTGTTTCCTACCAGCACACCCTGAGAAGCCCTGCGCTGCCTGCCGCTGTGGAAAAGAGCAGACACTAGTGGGATAATTATGCACATCTGAGATGCAAGCAGAGGCCATCTGTCAATGTCTGAATCAGTTACCTTATTACCACTGCCTAAAGATATAAAGATAGGAGTGGGAGCTGCTTTCATTAAGGCACATGGTGGCATGCTGCTTTAGACAGCTCCCAACACTAACTTAATTGCAAATGATGACTTGGAGGAGGAGGAGGAGGAGGAGTGGCTGCACAGTAGCTACTCTTGGAGTGGGCAGAGGCACTTGTGTGGAAGGCGGCATGGGACTAGGCGTGTAATGACAGTCGGTCAAGACCTTGTCGTTGCTCTCACTGAAAGAAGTTCTGAATTTGTTTCTCCCGGTTACTATCAATTGCGTTTAATATTTACATGTGATTTGCATGTTTCCCTGTGCTTGTTACTTGATGAGAATATAACTTACTGCAAAAAAAAAGAACTTTTCCCTCGCTGAACTCTCAGCATGCTGATGAGTGGGTGATGAAAACACCGTGGCAGATTCACTCGGTTTGGGCAATTCTCGCCATTACCCCTTTGACACTTATCATTTTTGAATCGCAGACAAAGGCGTACTCTGACTACACTGTTACTGTCTGCTTTTACAAATAGCATGTGTTTGAGTCTTAAAAGAGCAATTGTTTCATTTAAAAAAAAGGACAAAGCAGCTACAGTCAATTTCACAAGAATTATCGTACTCACTGACGGGGAGCAGATGACACACAGCTGACAAATATTACATTGGGAAGCACCCCACTACAATAGCAATGATGATCCTGATGAAAGTAGTGAGCATGCGAGTCTTTTTTCCTTCATTCTAAGATCTCTATTTGTGTGCTGCACTCCTAAACAGCAGGTGGAGTAGAAGTGGAAATGAAAGATTAGAGTGTGCCACCACACACTCCCATTGCCTGCGGAGGATCTAATTATAGGTGGAGGAAGATGGCCCCATCCCGCTGACCTGTCACCTGTCAGCCTGCCTATCCTCCTGCTCTCCTGCCTCCAAGTCTCTCGCTATCTGGTAGACCGCACCCTTACTCTTTCTGTTCTCCAACTTTCTTTCCCAGATAGTAGCCTGCCTCCCACTCTACCCTTATACAATCGCCTGCATTGTTCTCCGTCTTCCTGTCTGTGTGTCCGCCTGCCTGCCTGTCTGTGTGCCTTGCTGTTCTAAGGGCTGTGATACATTGAGCCTGGCCATTGCCTGGGGGGATTTGCACCTCAGGATCAGTGAGAAGGGCTTACAGAATACACCAGGTATGAATTGCATGTCATTCTGAGACAGAGCAGACAGAAGAAAGGCAGTGAAAGGAGAGTTCTTCACACACCCTGTCTGTGACCGCTTCCTCACCCTGACACGGTGCTGGCAGGGCTTTCATGGCAAGTGTACACTCTTAATCATGACATTACATGTGCTGTACTGAGGGGGATTCACGGGGTGATTTAAGATTATTTAAGCTTAGGACCTTAGATCATATACCCTCATTAAAAACAGCTAAACAGAGACATTTAAACAAGGTTCAAATCTCGGAGGCAGACTGTCACTCCTCCACCCAAAGAAGCTGAGACTGTGATCCTCCTTACACCGTCCCCCGGGCTAGGAGGCTTTGCTAAGAAGTCAGATGTACAAACGCACAAACCCCACCCCTTCAAATGCACTCTAATGTCATCAGAACTGAAGGAAAGCCAAGTGGGGTTTGATTTAAAGGATAGAGCACATCCATCACATACGCATGGGATAGAAACAGAAGGCAGCCATTGTTTTTCATGGGAAAAAGACTAGCGAGAGAGAAAACGACTAAACCAAAGATTCTCCCCAACATCTAATTCACATCAAATGAAAGAGTTAAAATCTGGGCTGCAGTGAAATGGGACAAAACTTGTTCGCCCCAAGGCTTAAAGAGAGTTCATTAACGTGAGGCAATGACTTACCAGAAAGGCTATTAGACTCCGTTGCGTGCTCTCCCATTGAAAACAGCTTTTAATGTACTGTAACGTGTACAGAACTGCTGTGCTGATTTTTCGAACCCGACATATATTCCGGGCAAGAACCTAATGGGAAATAATTGGAACAAAACAACAGTTAGTATCATTTGATACTGGACATAATGTTTATGACTTTGCAATGAGGTTCAATGAGCTTTACAATCCCTTATTTGCTACTTGTGAAGTCAGATGTTTAAAGCCAATTAAACAAATGAGTTTGACTATGTCCAATCCAAACTGCGACTGTGTGTTGCTTTGTAGTGGATACTTTACTATTGGGATGTGAGGAGAACATACTGGCAAGCCTTTTTGTTCCATCTGCTAAATTCTGCTAAAAACATCAATAGAGATGACCTTTTTGGAGAACTTCAGGTTTTCCTCCGTTAATTTGGTCTCCTTTGGTTTGAAGGTCCTGATGCCAGCTCTGACCTGGGACAAACGAAGGAAGCAATAAACACTGCAGTTTAACACACTTCCCGCTATATGATATGAAATATAATAACCTTTCTAAAGGGGTTTGAACATATTTAGTTAGATCCTTACTTTGTTGTAGATCACATCCAGCACCAGTGTGATGGTTCCTTTTGATGCATTTCCCATGTCTTCTTTCTTCAAGAACAGGCATATCTCCTGTCCATTCTGAACCTTTTAGAAATTAAAAAATGTGTATTTTGTAAATCAGATATTAATATGTAAGACCAACTTAATCCTGTCACAGTAGTAATGTGGTGGCTGGTCATAAACAAACTTACTGTCAGTAATGGAATGGCCACTTTCCCTAAAAAGTCTGGGGCTTTTTCTCCATTTTCATCAAGGAGAGTCAACTGTATCACATCATGAATGTCCTTTATTGGGCTGTAACATGAGAGTTAAGAAACACTTTATTCATGTAAAATATACAACACAAAATAAGGACGTTTTATTTCCAGATGTCCTACTTACAATGTAAAGGCTTTGTTCCACTCCGGATTGAGGGTCTTGTAGATTGTGTGAGTTTGAAGTTTGCTGTTGCCGAGCTCCACAACACAAAAAGCGTTGCTTTTCCCTGCAAATGACAAAGAGCAGTTGTTATTTATTGTTTAATTAAAAAAAAAAAAAGCCATGACCATGATGATAGAAAACAAAAGTGAGTAGTTCTAACAATTACCTTTGAGGTCTGTGGCAGGAACATCATTTGCCTTTACAACTTTGACCTGAAGGATGCCAACCTCCCCCACACACTTGTGTGAGTTCTTTAAGCTCTGGAAAAAATATATATATATATTAAAAACGTGTTATTCTAAACTCTTTTTATGAGCATGATTAATAAAAGTACCACATCAAATTTCACTCTAAACAGAATTAGATTAATGTCAATGAAACACCAGCACTCTGGACTAGGATCGTATCCCAATAATGTCACAGAAAACTAAAAACTAAAACTAGAATAGAACTTACAAATTTCTCCAATACCACTTCTCTCTCATCAGGCTTCTCCAAGGCAGCTGTTTCGATGTCAGAGATGGAGACTCCCCAGCAGGGTCTAAGGGTGACCAGAAACACCAGCTTGCCCTTTCCTGGGTCCAGCACATGAGTGTAGAGCTGCCTCTCATTAAGTGGAAGTCTCAATAGGTCAATCTCAAACCTGAGACACAAAAGGAAAATAGTTCCATTGAAACACACGAGGCAAACTGGTTCTGTGGAGGAGCAAATGTGAGCAAAACTTGCACTTCCCACCAGGAAATACTCACATCCCCCATGATTCCTCACCCTTCCTCCCTCTCTTGCAGTACACCTCCACCTGCAGAGGTTCCTGGTTATCTTCAAACTGATTGAAGTCAAACTGCTCTCTCCACTGTGGATTGGCCTGGACGCAAATGTTCTGAGGGCAGTTCAGACACAGATTCAGCACATACAGTAACATGGAAACACATACACACTTTGACACAACATCAGGTTTAATGCATTATCAGACTGAGCAGCTCCTGCATGACAGGTGAATTAAGTCTTCATTCAGTCCAGCCAGAACAAGGCAGGAGAGGAGAAGGAGAGGTGTGTTGTGTGTATGCGCCTCTATTTGTGTGTGCTTGTATGTGTACACCTCAGTATCCACTCTGGGATTGTAAACACTGACAGCTTCCAATTAGAATCAGCTTTGTCCAACAAACAAACAAGCAGAGAGGAAAGCAGAGAGGTTTACAAAGAAATGACACGACAACACAAGACAAGTGCACCATAGAATCATCAGGGGGGAGGCCAACAAGTACAGGTAGATGAACAGGGCATGCTGGGTATGCAAATGAAGGCAATGAAGCCCAGCACCCGAGGCACAGGGAGAAGTGAGTGGCAGCCTTGCCCAGTCTAATGAGCTGCCTCTGCCATGGCCCAGTGAGCCAAGGTGGAGGTGAGTCACTGACAGGCACCTGCTGAGCGAGAGAAGCGGGGAAGTAAGAGATAGGGGCAGGGAAGAAAGACGTGAAGTATAAAGAGCAGACATTAAAAAGACACGGGAGCATGAGAAAAGGGAGTGTAGGAGAAGTAGGAAAAGAGAAAGACTTAAGAAAAAAATCCAACCTTGCTCTTGTACTTCTGATCACCGTGGCGAAAGCGGACGTAAATGTCCCCGTCGCCATGCTGAGGCAGGTCCTGTCCCTCCACCAAGGTGATACCAAGCATCCCAGTCCACATCTGGTTCTTCAGCTGATTTCTTTGCGTCTCAGCTGGTCGCGGGGATACTGCGGCCTGGTTCTGCTGCAGGTCAAAGGGTACACAGTAGAAGTTTTTGTTTTTTTAAAGCTCAATGTGTGTGCAAGCTCTGCGCTTTCCCCTAGGTTTACTTGCTCCTGCCTCAGCCTGGCACCTCATCATGTTCACAGAGTGTATGAAAGTAGGACAAAAGGTCCACACTATGCAGCACATCTCTGTTGGAGCACATTACCACATCTCTACTGACAGGTAAGCCACACCATGGAGGCTCCTGGAGAGCAAGGAAGAGAGGAACGTCAGTGAGCAGCCAGATGTCTCTGGCTGTGACAGTCCCACTCATCACTGGCTCCCAGACTGAGTGTGGGGAGGCAGGACACTTGGCATACTGCACAAGAGACAGCAGGCAGCAGTGAGTAATGATGCAAACCGCACAGCTCTCTCATCAGCAAATTATGCATACATGCAGTATGTATGGCCAGCATCACAGTTTACTGCGTGTTGGCAAATTCATCCAATATTTATCTAACCGGGAAAATAACAAATCGTTTCAACTAAATCTGTCGTGAATCTACAAAACTAAAAGAAGATGTTGGGCATTTGAGGATTTTTTTTGGAAATCAAGGACAAGCCCAGCAAAAAATCCACTTCTCCTGCCGTGTGTCACAGAGGGAGTGAGAGAGAGAGGCCTTGATATGTTTCCATGTTAGAGTTCCCGTGAGGCCATGCGGTGATAGGCCAGGGCTGTAAAAACAAACAGCAGAGAGGTTGTGTCGGGCTGACTGTAATTAAAGAGCAGGACCGTAATCTGCTCCAGCCTCTTTGATTGCCCAGCTCCTTCGACTGCCCCAGCGACGCCGCTTCAAACAGCCCCACTACAACTCCCCTGCCACTCCGGCCCCTCCTCCTCACTGCGGGGTCACAACCCACATTGCCACCCAATCCGGAGGGGATCAAAGCACATCTCAGGGACCTGAATTAACATGGAATACCACAGGCACAGCCCTATAAATATCAGCCCCCTTCAAAAGAAGAGGAACAGAGGGAGTGGAGGAGCGATATAAAACAGGCCTCAGCCAAGTCATCCCAAGTGTTTATCTTGGACACATTTCTATCTCAGCGGCCAATAAAACAATTCCACTTAACTGTAAGTGGCCCCTAAAGAGAATCTATTCCTGGTCCTAAAAGGGCTGTGCGATTGCTTCCATATGGTGGGACAGCATGGGGACAAGCACGATGAGCTCAGACCCAGGTCCATTTGGCGAGCACCTCAGCACTGTCCATCCACAGCTGTGATATTACATCCTAACATCTGGGTTATTGCCCGCTATGCCTGGGAATTATCAGCAGTGCCGATCTTAGGCATCCCACACTGGCAACATGCCTCGAACAGCAGAGCCCCCCCCACACACACACACACACTTCTCCCATACGCCCCCCTCCTGTTTGAAACACTATCACACAGCAGAGTTTTACTTAGGCACTTGCCATTCCCTGTCTCTGTGGTGGTAACACAGAGGGAGAAAACGATGTTCACAAAGAGGGGGAGTGGAGCTGTAAGAGCTGGGTATTCAGCACTTCCAGGATAGGTGTTAAATGCAATAAGATATTGTACATTTGTCAAAAATGAAATGGGAAAAAAAATGGCATTGTTACATTGTTAAATTAGCACTGTGATTTAGGCAGCCGAACATTGTGAAGAGTCCCATCACACATTTCTGTCTCCCTTTGAGTATCTTTAACCATCTGTAGTGGATAACCTACAATGTGGATGAAAATGGCTTCATTCCTTTGTCATCTAATTTCAAATTGAGATTGTCTTCTGGACCATCAAGAGACTGAACAGTGGCAGATGTAGTGACTACATAGGTGTGAATATAAACCCACTCGCTGCAGTGTGAGTCCCAAACAGCAACCATCCTATTTCACTCTGAATCTAATTACAGCTGCAATATATTGAAAACCACTTGAGAGGATACGGAACTTTGTTTACTGCAAAACCAAATACTGCTTCATAAGATCCATCTAAGGGCTCTTTCACGACAACATATTCAGTCAATATTATTATTTCGGTTTTGATCAGAATGTAATATTGCATCACTTTTTTTTTTTCCACAGCATATGATACCACTGAAAATAATATGCATTGCAAAAAAGGTTCACTATGAAACCACAAAAGAAATAGGCTGTGCTGAAACCAAGGTTACACACAAAAGCCTGAGTCCTGAGCGTACGCCTCATTCTTTGTTGCTCCATAGTACAGTGAGCTACTGCCCCCTAGTGCTTTAGATCAGGGGAACCGGGAGCGCGGCCGTGCAAACTGTAACACTGGAAACAGGGTGGCATTCTGGATACGACTTGGAAATGATTAAAGTTAAGTTCAAAAAGTAATGATATACAAATCCATACCTTATTCTTCCTTACTGGCCATCTCTATGGGAAAATAAAATACATGAATCAGAACAAACAATTCAGGTAATACTGGGGACAGAGAACTGCATCAACAAATACTGCCTTTATGAGAAACACTCTTACTGGGCTTCTTTTGATGGTGGCGTCTCTAAACATTAAGCAGACTTCCACAGCGATCAGTCCCATGTCATCTTCTTTACTTTTTGGATCATCAAGCTGCAACTCCATTTCGTAGGTTCTGTGAAGAGACAGAAAGGATGCGAAGATTGAAAATGATGACCACTTATGGATATCCTTACAATGAGCGTATTCCTTATTAAAATAGAATATTAGGATAAATTCCTCACTTGTAAAATTCAAGATTGTTCAGAACAATAGTGCTGGAGCCCATGAACTCATCAGTGGTCCGCTTTTTATTGTAGACCTGCAACAATATTACAAATATCATGAAGTAAATCAACAGAAATTGTATGCGCTGGTACAAGATCACTCTTGAATTGTTAGATGCACTTCCATTCAAACAAACAACGCCTACCCGAACGTCCACGGCATGGTCTCTGTCTCGAAGAGGATGGGAGAAGGACTCGTTCCACCGTGGGTTCAGGGTTTTATAAACCACTTTGCTTTTATAGAACTGCTTTCCTTCAAGTTTGAACTTCACATAAGGATCACTGGTCCCTTAGAATTAAACACAAAAAAAATGGCAAATTAGCCAGATAATGTTGTGTGACACAAGTGGTGATTACCTCAACCACAGTGCACAAACACTGATTTACATACAAATATATGGCAACAGTGAATTATTAAAAGCAAACTATCTTTACTTCGTGTGGAACATATTGTCACTTTAAAAATGTACACTGTATATGAACACACACACACACACACACACCCTTCCCCCATAATGGTTGTGTGAGAGACTGAAATATGTGAGGAGGGGGTGCACCCCACACATGGCAAAAGCATAGGGATGTAACTGTTTAATTGTGAAAGAGTAGAAACACTCGCCAGCATGAGGCAACCAGAAACCAAAATCTAGAAGCAACCAGTGTTAATCTCCCAAGCCTGTTAAGAAAGTCTGTCTGCGAGTGGGGTGGGGGTATGGGACTTCTTTGTTTCTGCAATTGCATGCAGATTGGCCAAAAAATGAAAGCCAGTCCCATGCCTTCATTTGTATAGGGGAATAAAGGGGGTGCTTGAGAGAGCCTGCAGGGAGGCTTGAATCACATGACAAAGGCCCTGTGGGGATGGGCTGTCAGGCCTGTCAGCTCCCCACTCCAAATGAACATCTCGCAAAGGCAGGCAGGACCCACAGCAGCTCCACCCTGCCAGCCTGTGACAGGGAAACCTCCAGGCAACTTGACAGGAGGAGAATGTGGCAGCTAGCAAGGAGAAAAGCTCTGGCATGACTGAGAACGGTGACGATGGAAATTAATGGGAAAAAAAGGGGAGAACAAAAACCGAGGAGGGGGGGGGGCTGGTGGCGTGGTTCCTTTCAGAATATGTAATGACAGTGTATGCCACTGGTGAGCCTTTGGCACGGTGTTGATTGTTGGGCAAACAGTGGAGAGACAGGGGGCGTGTGGGGATTGCATCATCATGGTGCCATCTTGTCAGGGAAAGTAAGGTCTCAACTAGCAGGGAGGAGGGCACTGGGCTGGGAGGGTCCTCTGCCACCAAGCGGGGGAAACAACGTTAAGCATCATTCCAAGAAGGAAGTCCTTTCACCGGGTGGCTGTACAGTGATATCCCAAAGCTATTCTTTTTTACATGATGTGACACTAATTATGCAAGTCTCAAAAATAGCCACTCTTACAGTTTTTAAGATCAACCATGAACACCTTCTAAAACACCTCACTTCTATCCAACAGACAACTGTCAGCTTTAAAGGTTTCTGTCTAAACCTTACTTCACTCCGTTTTGCTCTTTGATAACCTGCACATGATGAATTTGCACAACATTATAGTCCAATGCTAACCTCATTTTATTCAATTTCAAACAAAACAATGTGCACACTTATGTCTTATGTATATAGTATGCTTTCCTATATTTAAAATGAATTCTTGTCATGTAGTTTGGTATATTTATAGTTTATTCTACTATATTCTGTATGATGTACATCTCTAGTGCTGCTATGTATATTCACTGTGTATTTACTGTTGTTGTGGATAACCTGCTACTGTAACACAACATTTCCTATTTTTGGATTAATAGAGTACATGTATCCATCTATGAATTTTCTCCTGTTGTCGTTCAGCTTCTGACCACCTGAGGTCGCTGCTTTCCCAAAGTAAACTCTCCTGAGCCTCAGAGAGGTCAAGATTAGCTAATATTTGAAGATCACACTTTGTTTCTCCGTCTCTCTCTCACTGATCAAAATCACGTACATGGATAATCAATTCCCAACAAATCATCCAGTTATTAAAATCAATATATTAATAAAATAAGTTGCAAAAGTTGTTGTTCCATGTACAGATCATGACACAACGTAATTATGCTTTAGTTCAGTGTGTCTTTTGTCATACTGGTCTGACTGCATACCTCGTGTTTTTGTTTTTCTTTGTACACACACACACACACACACACACACACACACACACACACACCACCTGAGAAGTCATCCTCACAAGTTGCAACACGTGCGTTAACTGAACACAGTCCGTCTCCTTTATGCACAATAACACATTTCCCATATACAACTGTCCGGTTGGCTCATAAACACAAGATTAACGAGGTGTATGTACCAGCTGCGTTTCATCCAACGCTCCCCCCTTTAGCTGTAGCCACAAGCCAACCAACAAATAACTGCACAGGAAGTAAAATAAACCTGATCTGGTATCTCTTGATCTGTAATGATCCACCCAACAGTTTGATGTTAGCTTGTAAAGGGTTAGTAATTATCTTCTCAAGATCTAAGCGAGGCAGCTTCTTAGTAGGTTGTGAGACACCAGGACTTATGGACCACCTGTATGGTTTTGACCTACCGGAGCGCTTGTCCCGGATGACCAGGTTCTTTCCCTGCTTCAGGTTGATGTTCAGGAGGTATCTCTGACTCGGGGGTGCTTGGACGTCAGGCCCTGGTGAGGGAGCCTGCGTCGGAGAACAATTCACACTTATACAGTTTCTTATACTTGAATGCTTGGTTCACTTCAAAGGGGCAGTCCAGTAATTACTCACAGGGTTGTCCAGAGGATCTTGATTTTCATCAAAGAAATCAAACGGCTCACTGGACATCTACATGGAAAAATGATGTAAAGACATTTTATAAATCATGAGGACACAAACACTTAATAAAAGTAGTCGAGCTGAGATGTCTATAGTAGGTGTGTGTGTACATCTTCAATCTTAATCAGAATCAGAATCAGCTTTATTGGCCATGTATGCGTACTCATGACTATGGAGAATGTATTTTAGGGAGACAACCAATGTTACTACAGAATGTACTGCCAACAGCAGTAGGAAGTAAGATATTATCAGACCCTTTGAGTACTTTTAGTAGACCACTCCCTGCCCATTGTGTCTCTAACTAGTACTACAGGTTTTCAACTGGTATCTAAGAGGCATCTAGATAAAAGAGGACACAAAAGTCAGCTATACCCAATGGCTGTACAAAGTCAAATCCCATGTGGTCCCTTTACATTTAACACCAACCATCTGCGGAGGATGTAGCACCAGCAGACTGAATAGTTACTGTCACAACAGGTTTATAAAGGGTGTCTCTGTGTCAGTGCTACAGGGATAAAGTGTAATAAAAGTCTAAGCTTAGGTTTGGAAAAGGAATGTGGCATTCATGCCATTCGTCATGTTAGAGGCTGAGTCCCGCTCTTATAACATAACAGCTGAAGTGGGTGAAAAACCAAACCACACTATTTGAAAGTGAAATAAAAGTCTGCCGCTATAACGACTTTGAGAATACATTACATGCTGTTGACTAGAGCACTAGAGCTTGCATACTTGTATCTAATTCCTATGAGATTATCACTTCCACGTACATTTCTACAAGAGTAGGGGCTCTAAAGGTTAGTGTACATGCACAGGACCGGATTACCATTCGTTTGATTTATCACTGTAAAAAGGAAATCACAAGTTTGACATGACTGGATACAAATTATAAATAGCAGTCTACATTACATGCAGACTTCATCTGAGATGTAATGTAAATACACTGGAAATAAAACTGACCTCTGCCGTTTCTTCCAGGGCCTCCTCAGCCTGGGCTTGTTCCAGCAGAGCCTCTTCGGCAGTAAACTCTCTCATGGAAAAGGGAGAGTAGAGTTCTCGGTCCTGTTCCTCCGAGTCCGTCGTCCAGGGCATGTTGACTCGCTCCTCGGTGGGACTGCCACCGGCAGAGTCCAAAGAGGTGCCGTCTGCACTCTCCGCAGGAGTACACAGGGTGTCTAACATCTGAGACGTAGCTGCGCGAGCATTTACTCGGATTGCTGGCGGAGTTCCCTTTTCAGACGATGACTTTCTAGGCTCAAATGATGTGGTCTTCTTGTCTGTGTACGGGTTAACTTGGTCGCCCATTGAGCTTGCTCTGGCTAATGATGCAGCGACAGCACCTGAACACACTCTGTCTACTGGGGCGTCTTCCCCAAAGAGACTCTGTCTCTCTACGTGGTCTGGTCTTGGTGAAGATGCTTGGGGAAAAACAGATCTTGGTGCAGCAATAGGGTCAAAACGAAATCTAGGTGCATTCTCCTTGGGTCTTTTGTCTACTTGTGCATACAGACCTTCTTGAGTAAAGGCCACCTTGTTCTGTGAGCGTGAATTAATCACACCATCAATTTCCTCGTAACTGCTTAATCCCACTGGTGCACTTATTCTATTCAAAGCAGCATTTGTGCGACCTGTGGGAACTCTGAGTCTATAGTCTGGGACTGGATTGTTCGGTTTGTCTGTGTAAAGTGGTTCATCAGCGATGGAGCCACTCGCCACAGAATCAGTATCACTCCGACTAGGGGAGTTGCCGAAGAAGATGGCATCAGAGGGAATGGGCGCCAAGTAGCTGTCTGAAGGAAATGCTTCACCTGGAATAAACCGTAGGTCTGGTACAGAAATGCTGCGCCGATGGGCCAGCTTCCTGCCCTGCTTGGGGATGGCCTTCTTCCCCGGCTTCTTCAGGTTCACAAACTTAGTTTTCAGACGAAGGTTCTCCAAGAAGGTCTTTTTCTTGACTTCCATCTTGAATGATAACTTTCAGAAGAAAAAAAAAAGAACAGTGAGATCAAGATCCCTTGTTTTATACAGGCCTAAGGAAAATGCAGCAAGGTGTCCTGTGAGCACTTAGTTAAAGTGATATTTGTCTGAACAGTCAAATGTATGTGTGTGACCACTGATTAAGGTGGTAAACACATCTTCAAAAATATATTTTCCTATTATGTCCTACGTTACATTTCCTGCCTGACTCATTAAATAGCATTTGATAAAAGGCACTGTACGTGGTGTACAGTAGTTAAATAAGTAGCAACACAGGATTCGCCACTATACACAGACAATAGCAAAGACGTCTCGGTTGTTTGTCTGCCATCTGAATCTGTACTGAGGCCAATGATCTCAATGATCTGCTGTCACCTATTGTAATAAAACACAAACAATGCCTACGCATAACTTCATTAACTCAGCTAAACCAAAAGTAGGTGGCAGGCTACATCAAATAGAATAATCCTGGAATAATCTTACCATTAGCGGGACAGGCAAATATCTGATCTCACAAACATTTCGGAATAAACTACTTCACCTAAATCATTCTACATGGCATTACCTCCTGGATTATTCCAGTAGAATTCAGATAACGAAAGCACGATACTATACCTGTCAAGTCGACCTCGGCCAAACGCCTGACGAAGCCACACACTGAGTCAGTCTCCACCGAGAGGCAGCTCAACCATCCTAACTATGAAGTCAAAGAAAACTCAGTTTAGCACAACATGCAGTTTCCTGCTTCCTGGCGGCGAGACTGGGTGAAACTGGCCATTCCAGTCTCACAAGGTGTGTTTCAACGACTCTAAGAATGCCACAGATAAGTGTTGGGTCCAACCCAAGTTATTTTTTGTGATGGGTTGAGCTACATACAGTCTGACTTCAGTTGTGAATCCGACGACAAATATTGAATATATATATAAAAGACACAGTGGCTGGAGATTAAATGCACAGTGAGGCACCAACACCGTGATGAAACAGTTCAGCCCACAGTTTGCTTATCGCCTGCAGTCTGTTTATTGTTGATTTGAATATTTATTTGCATTTGTGAGGCTATTTGTCTGTTTTAAGACTCGCATGCACGACACTTCCTCTAATATGTGTTCTCTTATAGCTCCAAGTATTTGAGAAAAATACTTAATTCCATAATCTACCCTAATTCTACAATACAACTGTCCTTCTTATCTGTCCAAAACGGTCCCAGAATACGACTGATGGATTCTACAACATGACTGAGGCATATGAAATGTTGGCTATCTGTTCGTCTTATCTCATCTCTGATCTTCAGCACGAATCTGGCAGTCGGCGGTTGCCTTGTCGTACCAAAACTCCATTTCTCTCACACAGCCCCATGTTTGTTTACAGAGGAACATGGTTTAGCCTAAGCTCTTCAAAAGTGAGCATTGGTGTTTGCAAAGTATAAACTATAGCTTTCTGTCCACACATCGAAGCTAATGCAACAGACCCACTGGTGTTCACTCTCTCTCTTTCTCCTTGCCTGTGCCCAACAGTGGAGACTATATGACAACAGATGTGTTTGAGTCTGGACTGAGTCTTGTTCAATATTTGCTGGTGTCTTAAGGAGATCAGGCCCACATGAAAGAACCCCAACTTGGCTCCCAGTTGAAAGGCAGAGCTGGAGGATCTGAACAGGGCAAGCCCCTGTGGCAGGTGGCCTGTCACCCTCCTCCTCACACAACTCAAACAGCCCCAAAACCCAGCTTGGTTACTCTACACATGCACACTGGACCTGATCCAGACTGCAGCACAGCTGGTTTGATGGACAGGAAGCCAAGTACATGCACTTGGGGACAAATCTACTGAGTGATGCACATGCAAGGCCTTCACACTGAAAGCAGCCGTGAAAGATTGAGGTTGTCAATTACACAGCTGACCCCTGATTGTCTGGCAGGGTTTTTCTACTCAAATTATTTTAGTAAAAATGCTAATTAAGTAGTGAAATGAACTTTTACACCTAAAGTAAAAGTGCTTTAACTGCTTTGGATACCTTTAACTCGGCAAAGTTACTGTTTGGGAGTTTTCAGTTAGCGATGCATGATATTTCATGAGGGTTCACGATGTTTCTCACCTTTGAATTAAAGCACATTTTACAGTTGAAAGTCCCCTTGAATTGTGAAATGGTTGTTCTTGAAATGCTGAAACTTTCCCTTATCTTTTCTTTTTGTAAAGACGGGTTCAACCAAAAACAAGCTAGGTTAACACCAGCTACCTGTAGTTTTGGCTCGTGTTCCAGTAACTCCAGCTGTTTGAACTTACCTTTAGTTAACTCAGTTTAGCACGATGTATCCATCCACCTGCAGCTCTGTGTCATGCATTGTACTACAGTGCCTCCTGCTGGCGATACTGTAGAAATACACGAGGTCGTCTTGCAAAACTGTTCTAAAATGAAATATCACTAGATGTCACCTGCGAAAACACTTTAGTTTCACTTGTATGTTTCTCGCATTTAATCTGGACCAGTCTCTTTATTATGTGCAATACAAAAATAAGCTAAATAAACAAACAAATAAGCTAATTTCACTAACTTCAAATTAACAAAGTAGGTGTATTTGTAACTTTGAAGTTAATGAATGTTTTAGTGCTGCTGTCGGCATGGGTGGAAAGTAACTACGTACATGTATTCAAACATTGTAGTTAAGTGGAATTTTAAGGTATTCTACAAAAATAAAAGTAAAATGTTATGGTATTAATATTCAAAACATCTGAAACTACCCACCCATATAGGCTCTTGTATAAATCAATTAAAATTAGCTCTATCAAATCCAGTTTGAACATCAGCACGCTGCTTACATGTGAAACCATAGTATAATAATCCAATAATATCATTGTTGTGACAATATATTACATTTATAATTAGAACTCTTTCTTTTTTACATTTTGATAATACAATTTTACTTTAGCTTGTAATGAAATATTCAACACTGTAGCAGTGTTACTTGAGCACTTCTCCCACCACTGGCTGCCACACTGCATGGAGCCATAAATCCAGCATGTGTAAAATTACAATTACAGTAAGTTAAGCAGCACTATTTTAATAAATAAACATGATTTGATTATTTCATTGAAAGAGTATGTCAAAGAATGTTCTTACATAAAGTCATTAAGATGAAGATCTTCACTGTCACAATGGCAGTGGCCTCAGTGCACTAGCTGATGCAGGCAATGAAGAGAAATGCAATTTCAAGGCAACATTCAAAGATGAACAGACATTGAGTTCAGATTGAGCATACACTGAGGTGTTTAATAAAGTTGACAGTTTCTACTGTTTGGGACTTCACAGGAGAACAAATTCTATGCAAGAGTTGTTTACTTCATTTTATACAGAATAAGAGAGATAACCTAAATTACACATTAAAAGCCAATATTTGTACTTTTGTGAAGAATACAAATTTTGTACAACAATATCTAGCATAGTATCTTAATTGTTTAATAAAAAGTTCACTTGAATATTTATTGTATGATGAAAATAAAACAACACATTCAAGGGAAAGAAAATGTTAACTTAAAATTTCTTTCAATTTTGAAACAAATAATTTCAATATTGGCAACAAAGTCCAGCTTGTGCCGCCAAACGGTCTGAGCAATCAAACCGAAAACAGCTTCTTTAGTTTAAGTGAACTATCAACTACAAACACTTACCAAACACATAGTTCTGTTTATAAAAGCCAATAAGCAAAGCGGTGTACTTTTACACAGCAAAGTGAAGAAAGTCCTCTACAGGTGCATTGATTACCCTTTCCTTTCACATTCATCAGTTGTGCACAAATTTGGACATGGACCAAAAGAGCAAAGTGAACTGTATCGCCGTGCATTCACCGTGCATTTCCTTATGTGGCTCTTTTCTGAGAAGAGGCAGGTCTGGTTAAGTTTGAGTGATATCTGCATTGTTTTGTTTTTTTAAACAAGAGAAAATTAAATATAAATGGTAAATGTAATTTTTCTTTGGGATAAGGCATTTCCTAACTGTGCATATAGATCGACAAACTACAAAACTCCCTGATATGTTATCAAGTGCTAAAGTATGTGCTCAACTATGAGGTGGAGCTGCCAAAACAGGCAGACTATTTTTGTTGTAGTCATTTATTATTGCTATTTTCACCTGCTTCGTTAAACTGGATTGCATTATGGATTACTACATATTATGTAAAGTATGTCTACCAATGTATATGAACATGAAGAGATTGCCCCGGGGGTATCCAAATCAATCATTTGATAAAATGCATTATATGTAACTTGTAGTCCAGCAACCTCCAGATGTGGCACTTCAGGATAAGAGGCTAACAGTCAATCCTCAGATGCTCTTCTTCCTGATGCTTTGTGGCCTAAACGTGACCTGTAATGACATCATGTTCTGCATATGTGCTGTGAATTGGGGCTAAAACTGCATAGATCCTTACGGTTGTATATTGAGAACTACCATGGAGCTGACGATGGGGCGGAAAAACCTCAGAAGCACACACAAGATATGTCCCGGTGAATGCAGAGCGATACCTTTCGCGTACAGCAAACTTCTCATACAAATGTGTGCAATCCAGCAGTGAGATTGGAGTCGATGACATTGGGTTTCTGATTTAGCTGCTGAATTATTTGCTCCTGTGGTGATGAAGAAGAAAACAAGTCACAGCACCTTTCTTCCCTCTCTGTCTCTGCACGGTGTGATAAAAGCGTCGCGACACCTTCTGCGTACATGACTTCAAAGCCTTCAGATTTTCACGTTTCCGGCTCCTAAAGCCTATAGTAGTCTTACTAGTAATAGGGCATTGATATAAGATACAATTTCTGGGGCCAATTAAGGAAACACATGAGTATTTCTGTACATAATTATGACTGACTGTGATATTTACAACCACATAAGTGTATTAGCACAGGCGTGATCAGTTTTGTGTGAAGGTCAGCGGCCACTTCTGCCACGTTTTGTCTTTTGCTTTAATTCAGTGAACCAATACCAGGATAGTGGAACGGGCTTGAGAGATGACATGTCTTTCAGTTGAGCTACATGCAATAACAATCTATTATTCTTCAGTGTGGGGCTGGGACCTTGGGTTTGAATGTTGGCAGTGCATTCAGCAGCTGCTGGTATACAACTACACTAGGAGGGAAGAAACCCTATTTCCCCTATGAGCCTTGTGATCATCCTTCACAAGTTAGAAAATAGTGGAACTTCAACCTCACAGCATTGCTTTTACAATGTATTCAGGACAAACAGTCATCACTAATAAAGAGAGGGAAAAAACTAATTGACCATCTGGAACTAAAAACACATGGGAGTTTATGTTGATAATCCAATTTAGAAGAGATTACAGTAAAATGAACAAAATAGCAAATATTGACCAGTGAAAGATCTACTTTTTAAGGGTCTACTCTTGTAAACTTGGCTGAAATCCACAAAAATATACTTTTCTTGAAAACGGTGTTGGTACAGTACATTCAGTATGTACTCACACCCTGGTGATATATATTAAAGTCGCTATATACACAACAAAAGAAAATGTTTGGCTCAAATGATCAATTATACAAACAGAACAGCAAATGTTCATGGCTTTAGATATCGATTCAAGATCTGTTTTATACGACTTTACACTGTTTGCAATAAAGCACAAAAACCCCTAAAACTGATGACAGAAATGGTGCTTTGAGTAACATGTTAGGAAACGGTAGCAACTGTACAAAACAACACAAAAGAACAGCTTTGGCTTATATTACTGATGAACTGTTACACAAATGTGAACATGTTGATTTTTCTCACCAGCTCAACTGGACAGGTTCGCATTATCTTAATTGCACATTTATATATCCTACTCTTTTAAATTATAAAATGAATAGTATGTCATTATTGCAATAAATTCGGTTGCTATTTTGTTTTTTACCTCGAGTAAAAACTGTATTTGTTTTCATTTGTTCACTAAAGTAGTCTCAACTGTTATTATTTACTGTGTGATCCAAATTCCCGTATAGTCTTAATTAACTCGGCGTCCTCTGTATCTGAATCAATAACTTACAAGAGGCCACTTGAGATAAAGGTCTTGTGTGGTTACAGCATGATTTTAAAAGATAGTTCTTGCAGTGAACATCATATGTAAGGGTCCTCAGCCTGAAAGCAACACAACTCTCTCTGATTGATTGCAACTTGCGAGCACAACAGCAATACAGCAACTACATGTAAGTGTCTGACTAGACCAGTGACTACAATAATCTACCGCCTATCGTTTAACAATTTCCTTTGAACATCTCTCTTCAGCAAATGTCATCTGAATTGCACCAAGTACCTGATACCACCTGCTTGTGTATATCATTCAGTCCAGCTAACTGAGATTTTATTTTTTTTATCTTACCGTATCAGTTTGAGAATTTACTTTAGATATGTTCTGACACGTCTTGTAACATTTGCCACTCAAGTCATCTTACAAATTGAAATGGAGTTGAATAATAGTATCATAATGATAGCTTTAAGGACCCTTGCTCTTTCTTTTATCTCCATGTCTAACCCCTCCCCCTCTCTCCGACTGGCTGGTGACTGGAGGCTTCAGCGGGGCTCTTTATGTCACCCATGTGTCCATGCGCAAGCGCTTGACCGAGGGGCTCTCCCTGTCCTCAGAGCCAGCAGGGGGCCTGCCCAGCCCCAGCGGGGAGTGGAAGTCTGGCCGGTGGTCCTCGCGATCGCTGCCATCGTAAGAGCTACAGGAGGAGCTGAGGCTGTCAGCAGGTGACCGTCCCAGGACTTCCTGTCGGCCGGACCCTTGCTGCAGATGCTGATGGGGGAAGCCAGATGGGGTGACACGCTCCCGTGGCGGCGAAATGGGCTCGGACTTGATGTTTATGCTCTGGCTGGTGTTGATGGAGAGGTTGGAGCCCTGAGGTAGGTGACCTCCACCACTGCAGAGAAGATAAGCATGACATTTTGTGCTCAGTCTGATAAAATGAGACATCAAATGTGAAGCGCAGCAACGTGAGAAGCCAGGAATATGTAGATGTGTGATTCAGCATGATATCACAGAGCACAGTGGGTGTTGCATTTATGCGAGGGCGTCTGGAGAGTGTGCCTTTGTTTGGAAGTGTGTTACTCACACCAAAGAATTAAGAGCTGCCTGGCCCAGTTGATGCTGTTGCCATGCCGACATGGAGCCCAGTGAGAGCCCGGGAGAGCTGAAGCCCTGTAGGGAAGAGATCTCTGCACTGCTCAGGGAGAACTCTGTAAAAACAAAAACAGCCAAACACAGTGGGAACTTATTTCAGCTACAGCACCATGTGTCACTGAGAAAAGAGCAAGAAACAACAGTGTGTAGTACGGCTGAGGCGGTTGTTTTCAGTGTGAGGGGAGAGGAAGGCCAGACTCACCAGCTGGGTTGTAGGAGGTGGGCATGCCTGAGTAGACCAGGCCCTGTGGGGGTAGGCTGGGGGTGGTGACAGACACTACTGGAGTGCCCAGTGGCTGGCTGGACTGGGAGATGCTTATCCTCTGGGTGTTCTGCAAAACACAAAAAAACAACAAAGAAAAGGCATAAACACAAAATATAACACACTCTAATCCTCAGCGATGGTCACATTGACATTTCATTTAGAGGCACGTTTTGAATTTGCATATACTATGCAGTATATATTGTGGTAATCCGGGTTATCAATGTAATAATGAAGGCTGCCACTAGGTGGTGGTGGAGCTTCATGGAAGTCAATATTCTGATCGCCACGTTTGTGTTTCTACAAATATGTCAAAACGAAGATAACAACACTGGAAGAGACATGAAATAACTGATGTGCTTTTTATGGGATTTTATGAAATCATCCAGATATATTTTACTAAATACATGTGTATGTATAAAACAAACTGCAGACATACTTGTGAATTCATCCCAAAAAAGAATTACCACGGGCTTTAAAAGATTTCAGTCATCACAATAACTATATATTTTAAGTAGACAACAGACAGATGTAGTCATCACAAAACCGACATGCAGCAACAGGCACAACAAATTATTAATCAGATTCACTACACTCTGCTTAATGAGTTTTAATTTGTTAGACATAAAAAAGAACGCAGTTATCGGGATAGTGTGGGCGAGGAACCCACAGGATCAGAGTGAGTCCAGTGATCACTTTTACAATCAAATCAACAACTCTTTGGTGCAAAGGGTGCAAAGGGATAATCCCAGAGTGACGCAGATTAAAGCGCCAGTGGTCTTTAGTGCAGTGGCCGGCATGCAGTCCACACAAACGCACACCTACACGGCATGTGGTGTGGTCATGCCGCAAACTGCGGTGTGAGCTACAAACGCACACACTCCCAACTCCACTAACCAAATGCAGTCATAGTTCAGAACAATACTGTAACAAATCCTCAGAATACAATGTAATAAACGTATGTGCAGCTGCCAGCGGTTACATTTGAAGCAGCATTGCATCATGATCTAGCTGATGGCTTCCTTGCATTGTTCTCCAGCCAGATGACTTCACCAAACCCCAAGTATCTCACAGCATGATGTCATTTAGGATGATGTAATGTTCTCTTCCTAAGAAAAAACTATGAATAATTTCGATTTTTACCCAACACTTTTTAAATTCAGATTGTGACTACAATAGTTAAAAAAATGTAAATTTTTCTATTTAGCACGTAGCTTTCTCGCTCTCTAACTCTCTCTTACACACACACACACACACACTCCTATTGGTATATGACTAATGTGGACGTGTTGGGAACGGAGGAGCCAATTTAGCAGGCTGAGTCAATTTTCACAGGCCAAACCCAAAACATGCAGTGACAAAACATTTGTTTTAATGTATTATTGCTGGCAGTTCTGAGAGCCAATCTCCGGTTCGAGCCCTGCCTTTAGTCTTGCATGTGTGATTACCGGAAGCATGTTCACATTTCAGCCATTTGCCCAGGCATTTATCAAAACTCACCAAATCCATTTCCTCCTCCTCCGACTGCCCTCAACAGAAGAGAAGAAGAGAGGCAGAGTTACAGAAAAGAAGCAGAGCGACTGTAAATCGCTCTGGAAAATCGTGCCAGCTGTCTGGATTTTACAGTAAAAGGGGCGTTAAGGAATATAAAAGTGTGGATGACTTCTCCAGTCATTTTGAAATCGAACATTGTATGTCTATAGTCCGTTGACATCGTGAACAATTTTGTCCAAAGCATAGGCACCCGATTAACTTGTCTTTATCATGTAAATGATGAAGAAGAAGAAGCAGTGGATATTGATAACACTGATCTGATCCTGGATGTGAGATTGCACTCATCTCCTAGCCAAAAATTACATATGAATTTTCTCCGCTGGTACCAACAATGGCCGCAGGGTACTTAGTAGAGGAGAGTATTTCAAATCCTCCCTGTGCTGAAAGAGGACCCACAGCCCATCTTCCATCTTCCCTGTGCTGTGGGACATACTGCGACCAGGCCAGGGCTGTCTTAATACCCACACTCAATCAATAGCGGCAGGAAGACACGACAAGGGCGACAAGATATTATCTGGCTCACACCCTGGGCCCCTGATTAAGTCTTCATCTACACTCTGTCACACTGAGATGTGATTAATTTAATACCATTATGGCCTAATGACAGGCTGTCTGCAGACCTGCCACAGCCAGCGCCCTCCACAGCCTCTACCACTCCAAAAGTACCCACAGTACCTCTCTGCCTAACCTGTTTCAGACCTCTTACAACACAACTCTACTGATTCCACATGCCGCCATGCTAATACACAATGTTTAGAAATGGCTCCAGGCTACTTGAAGCTCTGCAAAGGAGGGGCACCCACAGTAACCTGGGGTTTATTTACCAAACACAATCATTTTCCTGGAGTGGCTCCTGTTGCTGACAACACCAGGAACATGCAAAGTTGGAAATGGTTTATTTGCTGGCCGCTTTTTTCCCCCCGAATGCTGATTTATGACCAAGAGAGTCTAGTTCAGCCTCAGTGGTTCGCTGTGGTCAGAGTGCTCTGCACCTTCATTATTATAGTTGGAGAAAGCCTCTCATTTAAATGTGAGTAATTGAGTGTGACTTATGACACCCGGGCTGCAGATTCTTGGCTCTGCCCACATGTTAATGGAGGTGATAGAAGAAGAATGCAGCACAAGAAGAACGCTGCTCAGGTGTGGCCTGCACACCCTGTGAGTGAGTCCCACTTGGCAGACAAACAGTCCTTCGCATGCTACGTCGATGTGATAATATCAAAAAACGGTTGTGGCAAAATGTTGGAAAACATTCTGCTATGAAAGTCTAGATGACACTGAACAAAGCTCTGGTCCGCCCTGCAGCAGAGGTACTTAAAGGTCCTTTAGCTGGGGATACTTGTGTGCAGTGGAGTGCTCTGTACTCACCAGTGGGGGCATCATCCCTTTGCTAGATGGAGGGATAACAACCCTTAGGTCTGGCTTGCGGCCTCCCATTCCCATGTTCCCTCCAGGTGGTGGTGGAGACTTGGTGGGCATGACTTTACCCAGGCCGTTGCCACTGGGTGAGCTGAGGACGCCTGGAGAGCCCCTGGGGTTAACAAAACCGTTTCCTGCAGAGGTACACAGCGACAGAAACACATCATCAAACTACGGACTGTGACTGACAACACTCACAGTCATCAAGCAAACCTCTCACACAGCATTGTTTTCCAGCTTGCTGCAGCACGCAGCGTTAAGTGTTTCCAACCCTCTGGGAAGTTTTAATAGACTTGGATAATTATCCTGCACATTTACAAAAATAAAATGTCCATTTCAAAATTGATGAGCCTTTTATTTTTATTGTGAATGATTACATCAAAGTCAATTCTTTGCATCTTGGGATGAGGAGCAGTTCACTGACAAATGTACTGTGACTGCTTAAAAGAAATAGCTGCCATTACAGTTGAATAAAAAAAACAATAAAAGATCTCTTGGTGTTGTTTTTACACTGTGCACGCAAACAATGGCAAAGTGCAAGACACTTCCTTACACATTCACACCATAATGTTCATGTCATCGTCATCAGTCATTTCCTTTCTTAGCAAAGCGATGAGTCCCCTCTAATTTATTTTAGGAACTCCCATCCACCTCACTCCCACTCTATCGCTGGACAACTATCTCTTGCAAAGGGTGAATATTATCCGTGGGTGTGGACAGAGAATGATTTTCTTTGAGACATACTTCAAGAAATGATCATTTTCACAGTGAAACATATAGATGTTTGTCTGTAACACTTACAGTACATGTCTGCATAGATTCATGTAGCAGTTTTTAGATACTGTACCATATTGTATAAAATACTGTAATATGTTATGTACCTTAAAATAATTAATACAAATAATACATTATACTAGCACCAAGAAATGCAAGTGCTCCTGTATTAATGGGGGATCCCTTACAGATTGTTAGATCGCTGGAAACTCTTCACTTAGTATTTTGATTGATTTTTTTAAAACACAGGATTCAGGAAAATATGACTTCTTCATGTTGTTGTCGACCTACAGTAGCTGTTTTTTTAATTGAAAGATACTGTGAGTCCGTCTGAACAAGGCGGGATGCTGCGGATTCCACAAAAATCCACCGTAATAAAAATGGAGCTGTGAATTGTTATGAAAAAGATAAGCAAACAAAAGCAATTTTTTCAAGTGCGGATGAATTTAGAATTGAATTCAAGTTATGTAAGTCTAAGTAAAAACTATACTGTTGCAATATATAAGTACATGTTGAAATCTTGAAAATAAAGGGTAAAAAAGTATGAATTGCGTCTAGCGCTGCATCAACAGATCAGTAACACTTCAACAAGTTGCCGACTTCTCCATTGTGTTCAGTGTATACCAGTGAAACACAAAGTGTGTGCACAATGAGTAGGCTCTTGCATAGGAACATAATGGAACAATAGCCGCTCTGACTACAGATAAGGACACCAACAATTCACGGTCAAATAAACAGTTATGAAGCAGACAATAGTATCTCACAGCTGAATCAACAGTATATACAAGCAGATATCGCCGTCAGTTCTAGCTTTGATCGTACGAGACTTGGCTGCTGCAAGAATAAAATGTTTACAGAATTAGCAGAGTAAATGTCCAAGGCCCTAAAAATAGCAAACCTGATTAAAAGCAGTGAAGATGTCATTCAGTGGGAATGAGATGTTAGTGCAAATAGACTGTCATGTAAAGGAATTGTCTGAAGCTTCGCAATACGGCAAGTTAAGACTTTCCGATAACAAATCAGTGAGCGCTGATATTGTACTTTAACAGAGACTTAGCTTCACTGAGAAACTGAGAAACAGAGCTTCACAAGCAGTGATCAACAGCTGCAATAGAGACTCCTGGGCTCTGATTGGTTGTTTTCCTTCGGCACGGTGGAATCTTTAAAATGCCATTAGGAGCACTAAGAGGAGGCAGAGGAACATGATTTATTTTTCACAGATTATCTGTCTCATGCACTACTGTCAGGATAAAGTAACAGTTTGACGTTTGTTTCTTTTAAAAAAAGTTACCAACTGAACCTTTAGAGGGTTATTTTCCAAACCTTGACCCTGGTTTCCCCCTGTTTAAGCGTCTCAGCGACTAATGGGGACAACAGTTTTTGAAACTGGTCCAGTATTGAGCCAGAGTGCTGCAGGCTGTAATGGCTCGGGGTAAATGCTCTCCGTCATTTTACGTCCACTAAGAGGGCTTATTTTGGCCACTGACAGGCTCATATTGTCCATATACCATTATGGAAAGGAGCCAACAGAGAAATAAAAAGGTTTTCTTACCCTTCGCGTTCTGTTTGTGAATGTGTCATGTGATTTGTTGCCAGAAGACAACGGTGACAACGTGAGTGAAAGTTGAAGAGATGTGTGTCGATGTTGAGGGTTTGTTGTGTTGGAGCACAGAAAGAATAGCTTAGCATTATCTAAAAGATTTTCAATATCATGTCTGAATAGTTAGCTGATTTCGACAATAATGTGGATGCTACGTTCAGAGCGAGACTAAGAAAGCTAAGAAAAACGTGTTATTTCTCTGTCCTTTCCATGATGTTGTCAGACACTTATAATAACCACCTGAGTCTTGTCAGTAGCACAAACAAGCACTTTTTGTGGACGTTCACTGACGGTGAGGAAACGCCCCGAGCGATTACATTGCAGCCCGTTTAGCGGCTGCCACCTGCAGTGCTCTGGCTCAATACTGTACCAATTGAAAAGATTGCTGTCCCCATTAGTCACTAAAACACAAGTTGAAGGTTGAAAAATACCAAAGTCACGCTTGAAGTTGGTTAGTTTCAGTCACTCTGTGTCACAAGACACATCTGTTTATCAAACATCAAAAATACAACACATAAATGATTACATTATATGTATATATACCTTCATGTAATATATATTTTAATGCAAAAGAATAGCTGTAGGCCTGAAGTTTATCCTGAAAAAGAGCTTTTTCTCTCATCGCTGTTTTTGAGCACCATGTACACAATCTTCTTTCTGGCTATTTAATTATTCTATTAAATACTACTGTGTCCATAGCCGACCTTCATTGTTCACTGTTCTTTATAGAGATTTTGACAAAAAGAAAATGTAACTTTAACAGAGCCTAAACATCTAATTGTCCTTTTTTTTGCATTATACAACATGACTGAAAACAGAATGTATATGTGTATATGTTTCTATAAACATTTCAGTAATTTTCCTTGTTCACTTCTGAACCAACATACATTGGGCTGATAACCAGTGCTAGTGCTTCACAGGGTGATGACAGACAGAAATCAGTGCTGTATGCACTAGCTAATTTAGACTGGGATTAACCCACCTGACTCACATATCTTTGGAATCTGCCTCTGATTATGTCTTCAGATGTCTGACGATACATAAATCCCACTTCTTTCAAATACTTGCCAAGAAGGGAATACATGTCTGAACAAATACTCGGACCACAAAGTTAATTTTGAGCCAAGGTAACAGCCACAAGTTAAGACCCAGACTTTCAGCGGGAACGTTTCAGTGGACTGTTCTGATGTCTGCCCTCATTCCATATTCAGACTTCACTAACGGCTCGGTAGTGCCAATAAATCCTCTCTGACTGAAACCAGCCCGTGTTGAAAGCTGTTTGGTTTCTGTTCATTGTCCTGAATTATTAACACGGTCTGGGAAGGGGCATTACATAAGGGCTGTGTTTACAACTGAAATGTTTAGTTTTCATTTTAAGGTTGAGGGAAAGAATATCCCACGTGCGTCATGTTCAGGCAAAAAGAGAAAATGCCTTGATGAATGACAAGAAATAATAGATATACGAATCAAGGCCTCCAAAACAGTTTTCTAATAATAGATGCCATGCACAGTCCTATTGTTGTGTCTCAGAAAACTACAACCAGACAGGATGTGCAGAAGGTGATTTGTTAAGACTAAAGGCACATGGCAAAAGGTTAATAATTGTTCTTGTTGTTTTTGTATTCAGCAAGGGTGTAATCACCATCATCATCACCCTCCAACTTTGAATACATGTTTCACATTCAATCCACCTACAATAAAAGAGGACAATTTTCTGAAAGTCAAAATTTGCACAAACTATTTATTTCATTACCTGATCTGCAGAACATACAAACATGCTTTGTGTTTCAAAAGCCCATAATGCCCATAATATTGTTGAAAGAGATATCACGCTCTTCAATCCTACAAGTCCACCACAACGTTATTTCTGAATGCATACCAGTCAAGGACCAGCATGCAATTAGGTGTAGTTGTATAAGCTGTTGAAAGAAAAGATCTATAATAGAACTGCTCACCAGAGTAACAGTATGAAATCAGACACAAAGAGATTTCTTTTTATATATTTTAAATAGAAGATGTGGAAAATAATCCACTTCTTCTATTTAAAATAAATAAATTAAAAAAAATAATAATATATATATATATATATATATATATATACACAACTTGGTGACACCAATGAACAGTAAATATGTCACACGGCACATCTTCCATCTGGCCACTTTGAAAAGTTTCTCTGTGGTCAAAGCTGCAACTTGTGAAAAATCAGAGCTATGTCAGGAATGGTCATCTGACAGCAGTGCTGGAGAGGTTCCTCCTCCCTCTCTGCTGTTCTACACACTTGGAACAAACAACAGCTGCAGCATGCTCACACTGTGCCAAATGTTGACGCCCCCTGGCAGAGGATCCTAAATCTACCCCGACCCGGTACCACACCCTAAACTTAAAACGTATCCAGCACTCTCTTTAAATGTTGTAAACCGCTCCGAGGTGCTCTTTATACTTTCTAATGCCTAACCAAATATCTCATTGTAAGCCTACATTCTTGTGGTCGTCCACAAGCTATGCACATTTAATATCGTACCATTTTGTAACACCATACTGCATTTTGTCGGAAATGCTATATGGAGTGCAGCGGGCTAAGTGACAAGGAAAGAGTTAAAGTCCACCTGCCTTCGCCTCTCTCACAGCACATTGCAGCCATGACAGGCTGTCCGGTCATTGTGTACTGAGGACTTAGTGGGATGTCATGGCCCGAATACCTAAAGGGTTATGCTGGTCTAGGCATCTTACAGACCTTCTCCAGCCTTATAAGGGCTGCCAGAGTAGTGGGGGGGAAAACAGATGCACCTGTCAATAGTGGGAAGGAAACAGGATGAGGGAGGGCTACATAGAGGTGACAAGTTGAAAGGAAACGCTGTGTTTATTTATCCGTTAAAGTCAGTTGGACAGCTAATTGCCACGCCTGGTTATACTCGAGTTGGTTTCAAGCATAAACACCACACTTTGTGAATGCTGCTGATCCATTCCCAATCTCTCACACATGCATTTAACAAGCATATAATACATTTCCTCTGTGGAGAGAAGCAACACTTGTATTCCCTACGCATGCAGTGGAAATATAGTCAGGCATAGATAGTGACAACTGTCTTGGACCAATCACAGATGGGTACGCAACTATCCAGCTCGCATGCTAAGCAGGAGGCCTATTGGGCAGAGCTACAGAGAGCTAATAAATCTCTCCGGGAGGACTTACCCGCTGGGCTGGAGCCCATACCACTTGGCACTGAAAGGTCTGTGTTATCCAGCATGCCACCTAATGAGATGCACAGAGTGATACGATTAACCATCTGCATCCTTCTGCAAGCTAGCAGAGCATGTGATGGAGATGCCAGACAAGACATGGAAATGTCATGTCGATCTAACTTCACATCGCACGAAAGGGAGGCATGTGCTCTCGCCAGTGTCCCCATGATGGGAACATTTTCAATACACTGTATGACTAAAGAGAGCTACATCAAGCTGTGTTCAGAATGGTGTTTTGTCGGAGATGGTGACTGCAGAATTCCATTATGAGGACGCACCTGCAACAAACAATTATTCTCCACTTAGAAATCATCTACTGTATCCTCTCTTAACAGTCAAATGAAAACCCTACCAAGTAGAGATACACTTAAATCAAGCACAATGCAAGTTTGCCGCATGAGCCCGGGCATGTTGTTAGCTTTAGAAATACGCTGATCCAGTAAGAACCGATACAGATACAGCAGTGAATAATCAAGAGAGAGGCGTTATTGTGAAAAACAGCCATGAAGTAAACCCCCCTGCATTTTGGGAGGTGTTAGACAATTTTTTTTTACATGTGTTTAATTTTGAATGAAGCATTTCACAACTTGTTGCCTGTACTTCCATCATATGCAGTGTAGCTGAATCTCCAAAAGCCATGTGGACTGACTGAGTCAGAACAGTCCAAACAAGTACTACCGTAGACTGACATTATCTTTCCACAATGCAGGTACAGTAAACAGTGGGATGATAAGGTGTGAAAAAAGATATCACACAAACATGAACTCAAATGTGTTATGACATGACTGCTTGACCGTAGGCCGTTTACATCCAAAGCCACCTAGAATTTTTTTTATAAATCTCTATAAGCATCAGAGACAACCAAAAAACCCTTGAAGTTACCATAGCAAAACTTTAAACATATGCTTGTTTACTTACTTGCAGATAGTTAGATAATGAGATTGATATCAAACCCATGTCTATGCGCTAAGTATGAAGCTAGAGCCAAGAAACAATTAGCCTAGCTTAGCATAACAAATGTAAGCTTTAGGAAACAGCTAGCCGAGCAACACTGCTAAAGCATTGTAGTTTTACGGGGGTTATGTGCCACAACTATATCATGGTTGGATGGAGTAAGTGTTTTTTTCGTCAATGTGAAGTAGCCAAGCAACCAGCGTAGACTCTGAGAGAAATGCTAGGCAAACATTAGTTCATCCAAAAAAATAGTTAAGAGTAATACAGCTTGTAACTCCCTAAAAGCCACACATTATTCAGTTCTGTTATTAAACAAAGAAGATATAATGTGGTAATGAGCGTCAGAGGAGTAAGTTAGTTTAAGTATTGGAGAGAACCAGGCTAGCTTTACCCCCCTGCTTCTATGCTATGCTAAGCTAATGTCTTCCTGGATGACAACCATCGGTTCTCACCAGAATTGTCAAATTATTCCACAAAAAAAACAGTTTATGCTGTCAGAATTACTAGAAAGACGATATAATCACATATGAAAACACAGAAAGGGTGTTTAATCAATTACGTAAATAAATCCTGCTGAGTGGTTTGGAGCGTCCTCTGTACACCACTTTGACAAAACAGGGGTTGTTGTCTACTAACCTGCACTGGTGGGCCTCTGGGGTCCTCCACTTGAGCCCACATTCCTGTGCAGAGAGGCCTGTGGAGGGGACAGCATCCCAATGTCACTAAGGGAGGCCGCGGCTGCTGCCAGGGCCTGGCTGCCCAGAGTCCCTCCTGGCTGGTACATGGCGTTAGGATTGGATACAGGCACTGCCACATGCATGGAGAAGTTCTGCTGAGGCAATGCTGTGGGCTACAAGAGGGAGACAAACACACACAGAGGTTTACACACAAACCCACTCAAAACCCAAGGTCTAATGATGAATCTGACGGGTCAGTGGTTGTCATGGCATCATTAACAGAGAGCTTCCCTTGAGGGTTTGCTTTATTAAACAAGGACACACTGCACTGCACATTTAAAACTCGGCTGTTGCTTTATAACAAAACATTTTAAGAAACATTTCTGCCACCTTCAAAACAGTTTATTAACATCTCGTTAACATCAGACACAAAGAATACACACAAATCCTCGGTGTTACAGCAACACACAGAAAACTAAAAAACATGCATTCAGGTGATCACTTTGGCATTGCAGCAGTCAGCACTACAAATGTACTTTTTGCCTTTTGAAACACCTTTGTGTTTCTGAGTGCAGCAGAGAGGGGTGGTGGGGATTCGCAACTACAAGAATCTTGACTCACTTGCATTTACCTACAAAGTACTGACTGTGCAAAGCATAAGTGAGAATGACAGGTGGCAGTGAGAACGTTTCATCATAGCATTATCCAGTGAGCCAGTCAGGTGTTATCATTAGTTTGTTAATGGCAAAGTGATGCTCTTCATGTCAGGAACATAGAGAAAACGACTGCTTAGTAAGCACTACGTTCTTGCAAAATTCTAATATTGTCACGCATGATAAGATCACAAAAGATTTGTGGTATTTTAGAGGGTGAGCCATTGTGGTACTTGATGAAGGAGAGTGAAGATGCTAAATGATAGTGTAGTGTTAGTGTGCTCTGGGAACACTTCAATGCTGGAGCTGTTCAGGAGTAAGAGATATTTTATGCTAGAATGCATTGAGAGAGAGGTAACAGAAAGATTCAAAAAGGAGAATTTTTACATTTTACATTACCAAGGAACTGTGTTTTTTTTATGTTAAGAGATGAAAATCAGGTTTGAGATGGAAAAAAAAAAAAAAACAGAATCACAGAACCTGCAGATCTTTAGGATAAACTATCACGATATGTGAGTAAGTATTTACTGCACATTCCTGATGTGTTTAAATAGCGACTGCTGTTTGATTTATGATAACATGACCATGACACTAGGGTGTAATCCTTCCAGCAGAAGCATGCAACATTTCACCTGTTCACATGAAATGTGATCTTATCAGGGTGTGCCAAAATATCAGTTGCAGAACAAATCAACATAAGAAACAAATGCACACCCAGTGAAGGGAGCATTAATCTTAAGCTAGAGAAGCTCTGAAAGAAGTTGACAGAGGCTCTGAGGGGGGGGGGGGGGAACAAAAAGAGGAAAAAGTTAAATGAAAAAAAAAGAGTGAAAATCCTTTGTGCCACAAAGCCAAGCAAAAACGTTGCATTGACAGTACTTACGATTTTATGATTTCTCATCATATTATCAAACTCCTCATTAATTTTTTTATACTTTTCTTCTGTGTGAGGAGTGAGGACATATGAGGCATCGGGGTCCGGGCTATCACAACCTCTGTGTTCTTTCTTGTTTAGCGCCTGTAGTGAACATCAACATAAAGACAGGAATCAACACAAAACAGCAGGAGACAAAAGGAAGTACTTACACCACAGCGCTTGTACATTAAATCACTCTCTTCGTTTAGTTTGCCGAAATGGTCGTCCATGAGGGGGCTGTGCCCAAAACAGTCTTCAGGATCAGGACTAGCACAGTCATTATGGCCTTTGTTTCTCAATTTCTGAAAGGAAATTGCACAATTGAAGAGAAACAATATAGCAGTATCCCAGTACCCAATATATAAAATATAAATCAAACATGTTTTCAAATCATTATCTGTCCTCCAATTTCTTTATTTTGTTGCAGTACAACATGAACAGCTGCTACACCAATGCTAGGCTGAACTGAATTTCAAAACAAGGCTCTGCACCAACTGACATGTCACTCTATATCCTTTCACCCTTCAGAAGTGTTCAGAGAAACTAAATATTGTCCTCCTCCCTTTTCCTCTTTTTCTTCTCCCCCCCTTCCCTTACACCATCCCTCTGTGTTCTTCCTACTCTTGCTGCAAGTGTGTCTTTGCATTTTTCATTATGTTTCAGTTGTCGTAAGGCAACCAGCTGGAAGAAACCGCTGCATATGAAGATCCTACAGTAGAGCCCTTTAAAACAGTCCCAGTATGTAATTCAGTATAGTTGGCACTTGTCAAATCATCAATGTTAATGCATGTGGAGGGAAAAAAATGGATAATCAAATGTGGTCAAAGATGCTTATTTGAGCATGAAATTGAGCAATTATTGTAAAAGCAAAGCACTCATAAGTACATACGGTGGTTTGACGTAATAAATGGCCTATTCTAACTTCAAGAAAAAAAAAAAGAGAAAGAAAAGATGTCATACAAGTTAAATGCAACGCAGTGCTCTTTTGCTCACTTTCTTACAGGCTGTTCTCTGCTCCTCATTACAGCTCTGAATAGCGGTGTTAACAAGACTTGCTGACAGCATGTGACAGCATGTGATATCAAGGCAGTGTACATCAAAACATGATTTATGTGTGGCTCTCAAGGTTCCTCTATCAGACTACTGCAGGTCCACAGCAGCGCCCTGCCCTGTCTGTGGGCTGCCTCGGAGGCCTCGCGTCTACAGGAAGGTCACTGACTCCTGTGGATGCAGGGGTCAGAGTGTGAGCCAGACGAGAGGAACCTACATGCACTAATGAGACCGCACTCTCTGTTTCTGGTCTTCATCACCCAAGAAAGTGGAAAATGTGTGTGTGTGTGTGTGTGTGTGTGTGTGTGTGTGTGTGTGTGTGTGTGTGTGTGTGTGAAAGAGGGAGAAAGAGAAACTATATGAGTAGGAGTGTGTGCGGCAAGTGTGTGTGTGTGTGTTTGTGTGTGTTTGTGTGTGTGGGGGGGGGGGGGTTTCTACAGCTGCTACATCCTCTGACAGCGATATGACAGTACGTTTAGGCCTGTGCAGACAATGCGGCTAACCCAGCGCTACTCACCACAACCTCAGTTACATTTCCTAAAACCTGTGCCATGGCTTTATGAGAGTCCCGCATAATATCGTTGCTCATTAAACCCAGATGATTCTAAATCCCTCGCTGCTCACTTCGTCCCCGTGCATTCACATGCAGACATTTTCGAAGCGATGTACGTTTTGGGGCCACAGGAATGTTAATCTACAGAACCGTGACGCTGTGCACATAAATACAGAAGTTCAGTCAGACACCCACATCTCTTCAAACATAGGAAGTGTTGACAATGCCCAGAGGAGAGAGAGAGAGAGAGAGAGACAGAGAGATAGAGAGACAGAGAGACAGAGAGAGGGAGACGTCCTCTAGATAATGAATGGCCAGCATTGTAACACAGATGCATTACTGTTTGGTGCGGTACAGAGCAGTGGCATTCTTCTCATTCTAAGAAAACGCCTTGCTGGTTCATTTCCTGTTTACTGAATGAACCCTCTTTAGTTAGGGTCCTGAAAGGCCTGTGTTTACTGTGGTTAAACTATGCACTTTCTCCACCAGTGAGCCACAGATCTGATCTCAACCTGCAAATTTAGGTTCCAACCTACTCATTATGGGAACATGTTGGTCGGACTGGTCGGGCACGGCTGTGTGAGATGGGCAGGGCTGCTCTACTTTCACAACAAGCCTGGCCAGCCTTCGGTTCGCCGCACCCACCAGCCCAAGCCATTTAGGGAGGGGTTGCAGCAGCACAGTGGGTGAGCGGGAACCAGATAGCAGCAGACAAGGGCAGGCAGCAACCAGATCTGTTCCATGAAACATTACAGGAATCACCAATACATATTCTCCTCACAAAGATGCATTGAAGGTGCTGTGTATGGATAACATTCGGTGTGCAAGAGTTAATCGTCGCTGTGGCGTTCTGAGGCATAAAACATTGAAGGCCTGGCAGAGCATGGCCGTAATTCTTTGTTAAATGACTTGGCATGTTTTGGGCGTCCCACAGACACCACCCATAGCTGCTAGTGAATGGATCACTGGACCAGCACATGGCCAAACAGGTGTCCCTTTTCCAAACACCTGTCAAGACGTGGATCCCCACGCTGGCCAATCAGAGGCAGCGGCGCAGAGATATGGCCGTAGAAGGGACCACATGGAGCCCTGAAGGCCACCCGACCCCAGATCAGCTTTGCTCTTACATGTCAATGCTGCAGACTGCTCAAGACACTACAGTGGTCCGACCTAAAAAGGAGTCAAACTTACCGAACAGTTAGATAGGTAACCTCTTTTTGCATAATGAATCGTTGGATAAAAAGCCATTTCAAAATGCCTCTCAAATGTTGAATCAAGTTGTGGCGTTTCAGCTTTGGAAAGTAAAGTTGGCTGGATGTGAATACAGCAGAGGTTGGGATTTTCACAGCAGAGATATGGGCTGTTTGTTGCGGGAGGGGGGCTGGAGAGAGTATGGACAAGGGAACTTGTGTAATCTATTCACAAGGTCCTGAGAGGCTCACAAAGATGAGTGGGAACAAGGCCAGCTGCTATTTTCTCACAGCAGTCCAAACCTGTATTGATAGAAATGTGGCTCTTCAAATAAAAATGAGACTCTGTGTGGATGACGTTAAACCAACTGGGCACCATTGTCTTTGCGTGCATGTATGTGTGTCCATCCGTTTGCTTGTGTGATACTTGAACTTCTCTTAAAAAAAAACATGTTCCATTGCAGGAGGCTTTGAGGCTTCCTTATCCTGAAGGAAACATCTATTCGTCATCTCCTCCTGAGCCCTGACTGTCAACCTACAGTAGCTGTAACCATAGGGAACATTCAGCACAGTAAGTGCCTCTGCAGATTTGCAGTATATGTTCAGCACAAAAGGCTATAGAGCAGCGAAGCCCAACCTTGCAAACCACTTTGATTTTATATATAAATGTGATTCTTTTTTCCAGAAATCTAATCTGTCCAATGAGTACTTTAAGAACTGCTATGCATATACAGTATATATATATATATATATATATATATATATATATAAACATTCCTTAGACAGGTCAATTCAAGACCTTAGATTTACTTTTAAGCCTTGTATTCACATTTTTTTATGGCAAAATTGAAGCAAACACTATCCCATGGATTAAAAATAAAACTCAAACCATTGCATAAGCCACCTACATCACCTGTTTCTTGAGGAGTACACTCAGTGAAATGGGCCCGAGCAACGTGCAATGCTGCTGTGAGTCTTGGAAAACAATTTCACTCTGATGTTCTCCCTCTCTTGTGTCAAGAGAGCTTTCTGCATTTAACTTATTCATGTACTGTACAAACTGTACGTGAACAGAAGGCAGGGTGAAAGGAGATAGATAGTGGTTTGGTATAAAAGCTGAACTTCAAAATGGTGGGGGAGATGGCTGAAAGGAAGGCACGAAGAGGCTGTTTCTTCCATTGTGCCTGAATCACATCGGCTTTTACTGACAGTAGCTTCCACTGTTGGTAGAGCACCACCTGACCTTTGACTGGTGCACCACTGCTCTGATTCCAGGACCCTCAACAGCAAGATGGCGAACCAACTGGAAATTACACAGAATGTTCCAAAAGTGGAATGTTTAATGCATTATTCCCGCCTTCCCTAAAGTACATAAAAGCTATATTTTAACCGATTGTTGTGCTGCGGCCTCCCCTCACCTCATTTCAGCCGGGTCTCCTCGCACTGCAGTTGCTGCGAATTAGCCCTTGTGCCTGCCGCTACACTAAGCGAGGTAGCGTGCTAATCCTCATGACATCACCATTGTGTCCAGGCCGTTCCATCTAATGTGCTTATCAAAGGGCTTCTTTGAGTGTGAACGCACTAGGAAATCAGCGCGGGGAGGCGGCTGATAGGAAAGCTTTTATCTGCGAAGGAATATTTCTGCTCTTATATAACATCTTAAGAGACTTTCACTACCATCATGTTCTCTTTCCCCTGTGGTGCTGTAGTCTTCACTTGAGGGGAATAAAAGCCTCTTTTGGTTGGTCTTTGGTGGGCACTGTATGCCTTGGCCCAGCTATAGGTTACTGTAGTCTCTCTCTCTCTCTCTCTCTCTCTCTCTCTCTCTCTCTCTCTCTCTCACACCACATATTGTGAGTTGAAAGTGAGGGGCAATTAGATAAGGAGACCTCTGTAATTCCCAGACATATCTTGTTTAATCTCATGAACATTGCACATTACTGACTGATATGAGGATATGAGGCTGGATTCATGTCCTTCCTGTGGCTCATGCCATTGTCTAGTTACACAGTGGACAGGAAGAGCAGTGGGACGGGGCAACTCGACCGTCTGCATTTTATTTTGATATTATTTTCTTGTAGCTGTATATGCATAGTGAGATTCAATCCCACCAGACAGAATGGCAACGGACAGACCACAATGAACTCGGATTGTAGTGAGATATTAATCCGAAGTGAGTCATGCTCATACAATCTAAACCAGCGATAGATAAATACATGGACAAACTAATCATATTCTATATTGTATACTGCAAAGGATTACCTGCATTTGACCAACTAAATTGCCAATTAAAAATAGCTCATCCATCT